GGCGGAGCTATGTCGTTTCGAAACGTCATATCTCCCCGTCAAATCTAGAGCGGCGGAGCTATGTCGTTTTGAAGCGTCATATCTCCCCGTCAATTCTAGAGCGGCGGAGTTTATGTCGTTTCGAAACGTCATATCTCCCCGTCAAATCCACAGCGGTGGAGCTATGTCGTTTCGAAGCGTGACATCTCCGCGTCAATTCTAGAGCGGCGGAGCTATGTCGTTTCGAAGCGTCATATCTCCCCGTCAAATCTAGAGCGGCGGAGCTATGTCGTTTCGAAACGTCATATCTCCCCGTCAAATCTAGAGCGGCGGAGCTATGTCGTTTTGAAGCGTCATATCTCCCCGTCAATTCTAGAGCGGCGGAGTTTATGTCGTTTCGAAGCGTCATATCTCCCCATCAAATCCACAGCGGCGGAGCTATGTCGTTTCGAAGCGTCATATCTCCCCGTCAAATCTAGAGCGGCGGAGCTATGTCGTTTCGAAGCGTCACATCTCCGCGTCAATTCTAGAGCGGCGGAGGTTATGTCGTTTCGAAGCGTGACATCTCCGCGTCAATTCTAGAGCGGCGGAGCTATGTCGTTTCGAAGCGTCACATCTCCGCGTCAATTCTAGAGCGGCGGAGGTTATGTCGTTTCGAAGCGTCACATCTCCGCGTCAATTCTAGAGCGGCGGAGCTATATCGTTTCGAAGCGTCACATCTCCGCGTCAATTCTAGAGCGGCGGAGCTATGTCGTTTCGAAACGTCATATCTCCGCGTCAATTCTAGAGCAGAGGAGGTTATGTCGTTTTGAACCGTCATATCTCCCCGTCAAATCCACAGCGGCGGAGCTATGTCGTTTCGAAGCGTCATATCTCCCCGTCAAATCCACAGCGGTGGAGCTATGTCGTTTCGAAGCGTCATATCTCCCCGTCAAATCCACAGCGGCGGAGCTATGTCGTTTCGAAGCGTCATATCTCCCCGTCAAATCCAGAGAGGCGGAGCTATGTCGTTTCGAAGCGTCACATCTCCGCGTCAATTCTAGAGCGGCGGAGGTTATGTCGTTTCGAAGCGTCACATCTCCGCGTCAATTCAAGAGCGGAGGAGGTTATGTCGTTTCGAAACGTCATATCTCCCCGTCAAATCTAGAGCGGCGGAGCTATGTCGTTTTGAAGCGTCATATCTCCCCGTCAAATCCACAGCGGCGGAGCTATGTCGTTTCGAAGCGTCATATCTCCCCGTCAAATCCACAGCGGCGGAGATATGTCGTTTCGAAGCGTCATATCTCCCCGTCAAATCCAGAGCGGCGGAGCTATGTCGTTTCGAAGCGTCACATCTCCGCGTCAATTCTAGAGCGGCGGAGGTTATGTCGTTTCGAAGCGTCACATCTCCGCGTCAATTCAAGAGCGGAGGAGGTTATGTCGTTTTGAAGCGTCATATCTCCGCGTCAAATCCACAGCGGCGGAGCTATGTCGTTTCGAAGCGTCATATCTCCCCGTCAAATCCACAGCGGCGGAGCTATGTCGTTTCGAAGCGTCACATCTCCGCGTCAATTCTAGAGCGGCGGAGCTATGTCGTTTCGAAACGTCATATCTCCGCGTCAATTCTAGAGTGGAGGAGGTTATGTCGTTTTGAAGCGTCATATCTCCCCGTCAAATCCAGAGCGGCGGAGCTATGTCGTTTCGAAGCGTCATATCTCCCCGTCAAATCCAGAGCGGCGGAGCTATGTCGTTTCGAAGCGTCACATCTCCGCATCAATTCTAGAGCGGCGGAGGTTATGTCGTTTCGAAGCGTCACATCTCCCCGTCAAATCCACAGCGGCGGAGCTATGTCGTTTCGAAGCGTCATATCTCCCCGTCAAATCCACAGCGGCGGAGCTATGTCGTTTCGAAGCGTCATATCTCCCCGTCAAATCCACAGCGGCGGAGCTATGTCGTTTCGAAGCGTCATATCTCCCCGTCAATTCTAGAGCGGCGGAGCTATGTCGTTTCGAAGCGTCATATCTGCCCGTCAATTCTAGAGCGGAGGAGGTTATGTCGTTTTGAAGCGTCATATCTCCCCGTCAAATCCACAGCGGCGGAGCTATGTCGTTTCGAAGCGTCACATCTCCCCGTCAAATCCAGAGCGGCGGAGGTTATGTCGTTTCGAAACGTCATATCTCCCCGTCAAATCTAGAGCGGCGGAGCTATGTCGTTTCGAAGCGTCATATCTCCCCGTCAAATCCACAGCGGCGGAGCTATGTCGTTTCGAAGCGTCATATCTCCCCGTCAAATCCACAGCGGCGGAGCTATGTCGTTTCGAAGCGTCATATCTCCCCGTCAATTCTAGAGCGGCGGAGGTTATGTCGTTTTGAAGCGTCATATCTCCTCGTCAATTCTAGAGCGGCGGAGCTATGTCGTTTCGAAACGTCATATCTCCCCGTCAAATCCACAGCGGCGGAGCTATGTCGTTTCGAAGCGTCATATCTCCCCGTCAAATCCACAGCGGCGGAGCTATGTCGTTTCGAAGCGTCATATCTCCCCGTCAAATCCACAGCGGCGGAGCTATGTCGTTTCGAAGCGTCACCTCTCCGCGTCAGTTCTAGAGCGGCGGAGCTATGTCGTTTCGAAGCGTCATATCTCCCCGTCAATTCTTGGCCAGCGAAAAAGCTAAAACCGCTTGGAAATGTGCTAAAATAAAAAAAAAAAACATATTTTAGTTTCATTAATATATTTCCAATCATAATCGGCATGTATAATAATTAAGCTTAATTAATCAACTTATCGCTAATGTTTGGGTATGTGCGCAGCACGTGGAAAGGATCTAATGGGCAGGTCCAATGCCTGTCATTTCCTTAAGCTCTTTGATAAGATGTTTGTTGTATTCCTTGTAATTGATGGGGGTCATCGATTGAACGGTTAGCTTGTTGCGCGTCATGTCGCCGTACATTTCATTTTTGCAGCGCAATTTGAAAATGTATGATGAGAAATTAATGTCGGCAAACATTTTTTCAGCAGCAGCTGGATCGTTCTCCAAAGCCTCACCAACTTCCTGAGCGTTGTGCTTGAGCAGCTGTTCGCCTGTCTCGCTGAAACAGGTCACCCAGCGGTTCGAAGTCCAATCGCCAATGCTCATCTGTAACACAAAATATTTCATATTAAAACGTTGAATTAAGCTATATATATATATATAGAATAGGGGACTCACATTAATCAGCAGGCGATACTTGAAGTTGGGAAATGCTGCATTGCAGCGCTCGCAGCGGTACTGGCCATTGCCCTCATCGACAACCTTCTTGTTGCAGTCCGCTTGCGGGCACGCCTTGTAGAAGGCGTTCTCCTGTTTAACAATGTGCACAACTGCCTTGCACTGGAAGTAGTCCGGTTTGTCACCTGACCCAAGATTGCGCAGGCGAGCATCCTTGAGCGTTACCCAGTCAGTACTGAAGCTTCCACCGCCAGTGCGCGCGGAGACCATATTGCTTATATTATCACCGCCACCGTTGTCAAACCAGCCGCGTAGCTTGTGGGCCTCCGGAATGTCGGGATTAATTTTAAGAATTGAGCCACCGCCCATGCTGAGACTTTTGCCGCCATTGAATTCATTGATGCGCGAACCCTTGACCAAGATGACTGGCTGCACATGTCCATCGAAATTGACGGCTTCATCGCCCCATAGCGTTAGAGTGACGGCGGCATTGCTCATGTCCACCAAAGTGAGTTCGCGTTTTTTAAACTCCTTATTGGTCGTACGCGAAGTAAAGGCCTGCAGTTCGCCTACTTCCTTGCAAATGCCTATTGTATCAACGGCCTCCTTGTTTTCCATGTTTGCCACTTGCGAAATTGGCACCAAATCAAACTTAATTTCGGGTATGCCACCATTGTCCTCATCATCGCATGGCTGCACCATTGTCTCGTTGGTGAAAGTCATCTCGTAATCATTTTTCAGCTGTGAATACTGCTTATTGGCCGGCTTAAGCTGGCACTTGGAAAAGAAATAGACATTGTCCACCTCGATAAGATCATAGAACTTATCACACTGCTCTTTAAAGGCAGTGGCGCGAATTTCGCCGGATTCGTCCATTAAATCCATGCTAAAAAGCTTGCCCTCGCCGCGCGCATTACTCCAGGTCCGTATGGCCGTCTTCGAGGTAACACGTGCCTTGATAACCCATTTGTTCTGATACGGGCTCAGACTGGAAATGGGATGTGTGAGGCTGGAGTTGAGTGTTCCGTTCAACGTGCTATTCATTGTGTGGTTATTATTGTTGTTGTTGTTGTATGACTGTTCCTTTTTCACTGGGACACTTGCCGCAACAGCAGCTGGCTTTGGAGCGGTGTCCTGTTTGGCCGCATTCTCGTAGGTGACAGGGTCGCCTATTTTGGATTTTACTTCATCGCCCGAGTTCAGCACAGTAAGCTCGGTAACAATGAGCACGCGTCTAAGAGAAACATATGATAAGCCTAACATTATCATCCAAATTCAAAATACGACTTACTTCCCGGAGCCTTCTTTGCCCACCATGGAGGTCATGTATTTATCCAGACGCACAATGGTGTTCTCATTGAGCAGTCCCCTGTTCTGCATTTCATTCAGTTGGCTTGCTAACATGGCATAGCTATTGTAATATTTGCCATCGGACATAAGCAGCCGGTAACGTTCCTGATCCGAATTGGTATTAATTCGTTTGATGCCCAAAATTTGCAGCACCGGCTGCGACACATCCTCCCCATTCATGATGCGCTGCAAGCAACGCAAAACCAATTATTACGTCTTACAACACAAAGAATCTACAAATATTTACCGCAATGACGCCTGTGCTAAGACTTGCAATCGGTGCCATTATAAACTTTTAACAAAACTTATTTTTTGCCAAAAACTAAGGTGAATTTCACAACAGCGGCGCAATTCCAAAGTGAGTGATGCCCGAAGTGGCGGGAAGAGTAATGTAAAAAACTGTATTCGATGATTTTATCGATATAACGCAGTGCTCTTCAATCAGCGACGAAAATACAACTCTGTTCTGTAATGTCTATCGATGGCTTATTGACCGCAGGGCTATCGAAAAGTCATCGTAGGCTGAACTGCAGGCCTGTCGTGCTCGTTTCTGTCGTACCTGCCTGGTTTGCAAATTAATAAATTTTGCTTATCGTGCGGATTTGCAATCACATATGGCAACAAAGTTGCCAGAAACCCAATTAAAAGTGAAACTGATGAAAAAGTGTGTGAAAATAAGGAAGAAAACTTTATGAAATTTTCAGCTGCCAATACGAAGCAAGGCACAAAGAGCAAACAAAAGAAACAATGAGCGAGCGAAACAGCAGGCCCCAGTGTGATAGCTAGTGCAACTCTTCTTTCCAAATAAAACAAAACAAATGAGAAACAAAGGATAGAAACCCCGAAAAACTCCGCACACACACACGCACACCAATACATACAATAGGAAGAAAAGCAGATGATGAAGCAGGCAAAAACTGGCCGATAAACGACAATAAAGTTAATAAAAAATGTACGACTATAAACTCCTATTTTTATAAATCAGATTGAACAAAAACTAACTGTGAACAGAGTGCTTAGTTTGCAGCAATGCATGCGAACTGCAAGTGAAAGGAGAAAATCCGTTGTCATCGGCTAATAAAACTGTTTCTCTGTCTGTGTCTGTGCCTGTGCATGTGTATCTGTGTGTGTGTGCGCGTTTGCAAGTGTGAGTGTGTGGAATTGGGTTTGGGGTTGGTAAATTGTGAAAAGTGTTAAACGCCACAAGGCTTTTCCCCCGCACTCCTCCCGGAGCAAGAATTTTAATTTCAAAAAATGCCCAGCGCCTCGTTCACATCATCGCGCACCTATGTGCGCCGCTCCAGACGAAAAGGAGCCAATCGCATTGCCATGCCAAATCGCCCCACTGGCAATATAATGGATCCCATGCTGCAGCAGTCTGTGCATGCCCAGCAAAACAATGCCGCAACCACAAGCACAGCCTCCGTGGCAGCATCAGCAGCTGGAAGTAGCAATAGCTCCAACAATAGTAACAGTAACAACAATAATGCAGCTCCTGGCAGCGCCAACTCCACGGAGTACTTCGACAGCGGTCAGTCGACGAGTAGTGCCGCTGGGGGCAGCAGCAGCAATGGTACAACCGGACCCTCCTCTGGTCTTAATCAAAACCAGAGCATGAGTAATATCTACAATGCTGTGCAGATTATGGACACCTCCGACGGCAATTCCGCTCTGGCCAGCACCTCGTCGGCCGCCGGTCCAAGCAACAGCAGCAGCAACAGCCTCACCTGCAACTCAAACTTTCCCAGCACATCGGCTGCCAGTCAGAATAGCAGCACCTCCTGCTGCCATCAGTCGCCATATGATCTGCGTCGCAAGATATCCGCTGTGAACAACCACGACCAATGGTGCTCCACAGGCACCAGCGCTGGCCAATCGGTGGCCATAATGGTTGGTCCAGCCAGCAGTTCGCCACCTCTATTAAATCCCAGCACATCACCTGCCAGCAGCTCCTCAGCTTCAAGCTCGTCATCAGCCTCGTCGTCGTCATCGCCATCGGCCATTGTGCAGGCACCATCAACCAGCGCCACCTTTCCCGTAAACAATGCGCCCACAACAGGTGCAACGCTTGCCCAGCCACCGAATGTGCATAGTTCCGTGCCGCAGCAGCAACATTGCGGTGCGCTTCCAGTGGGCGGTGCAGCAGCGGTCATTGAGGAGAATAATTATATGTTGCCGGCACGCAAACGCTCGCGACGCCTCTACACGCAGAGTGGGGAGGCCGACACGGCGGCAATGCCCAGCATGGAAGCGGGCAGTGGCGGTAGTGCGGCGAGCGGAGGTGGACCCACGGCCGCCCAATATCTGCAGTATGAATTGGCAGATGAGGTGCTTCTGGCCATATTCTCTTACCTGCTAGAACAGGATCTGTGCCGACTGGCTCTGGTGTGCAAACGATTCAATACCATTGCCAACGACACGGAATTATGGAAGCGTCTCTATCAGTCTGTCTTTGAGTACGATTTACCTCTGTTTAATCCGGAGCTGTGTAAATTTGTCTTTGAGAAGCCCGAGGAATCTGAATTTGCCAATCCCTGGAAGGAGAGCTTCCGTCAGCTCTATCGTGGCGTTCATGTTCGTCCTGGCCATCAGGACAGACGGCAACCTGGTCGCAGCATTGTCTTCTTTAATACTATACAAGCAGCTCTCGATTATCCTGAGGAGCGTGCCGCTGCAGCCTTTGCCTCGGGCTCCAATGCTGGCGCTGGCGCTGGTAATCTCAATGCTGGTCTCTCAAACACCAGTAGCGCCGGCAGCGGAGGCGCCGCCAGCGTCAATGCCCTGGCCAACATATACGAAGAGAATGTGCCGCCAGCGGAGCATCCAGGTCCACTCATCTTCCTGCATGCCGGCCACTACAAAGGAGAATATCTATTCATTGACTCCGACGTGGCACTCGTAGGGGCGGCGCCCGGCAACGTGGCCGAGTCTGTGGTGCTCGAACGAGAGGCCGGCTCCACTGTGATGTTTGTGGAGGGCGCCAAATACGCCTATGTAGGCTACCTGACGCTCAAATTTTCCCCAGAGGTCACGTCCACGGTGTCGCATCACAAGCACTACTGCCTGGACATCGGTGAGAACTGCTCGCCAACGGTGGACAACTGCATCATACGCTCCACATCTGTGGTCGGTGCCGCTGTCTGCGTTGGTGGCGTCAGTGCCAATCCCGTTATACGCAACTGTGACATCAGCGACTGCGAAAATGTTGGCCTCTATGTAACGGACTATGCCCAGGGGACCTACGAGCACAACGAGATCAGCCGCAATGCCTTGGCCGGCATTTGGGTAAAGAACTTCGCGAGCCCCATAATGCGTGAGAATCACATACATCATGGACGCGATGTGGGGATATTCACCTTTGAAAATGGCATGGTAAGTGCTAAATGATTATAATATTATATATATGAGTTATGCCAACGAAGAGTGCTCAGTCGGGAGTGCCCGACTAGAGGATACCCACAAACAAGTGCCGAGCTGGCATTACAAGCACGAATATTTCTATATTTATCTCTTTGCAAACACACAAATATGTACACACACACGAGCAGACACCCCATTTACTGCGCACTTCCGCCAGTTTTTCAATTTTGGTGGGGGAAATGCTGGGAAGGGGTCTCGAAATGTAAAATATACGTACGAGAACCTGCATACCAAGTTTAGCTATATGTCCCAAAATCTATGTCCAAAAAATGAGCAGAGAATAATGATAAAATCTTCGTATTTCATCTTTCTAACCTCTTACCCATTTTCGATTCAATGTAACAGGCCATTAAGGTACCAGGTAGCAGGGTATTTCAACTCAAGCAAGTCTCAGTCATGGTCATATGACAAGCTTTATATTTTAGTTTACACCTTGCTACCCAATTCTCATCTCAAGCCACAACCTAACTTTAAGCTACACCTGAAAATAGGTTCGGTCATGGTCGTAACTACATTGATTGCTATCATTTCAGGGCTATTTTGAGAAGAACGATATACACAACAATCGCATTGCTGGTTTTGAGGTCAAGGCTGGAGCCAATCCCACGGTGGTCAAATGTGAGATACATCATGGACAGACGGGAGGCATCTATGTGCATGAGAATGGACTGGGACAGTTTATTGAAAATCGAATACACTCGAATAATTTTGCAGGTAAATATTCAATTAATATAAAATATAGCTACTAGCTACTAGTTGAGCTACAGAAACCAAAATGTTTATAAGGAATACATTAAGATACATGGAAATATAACATTAATTTCTGAGTTCTAGACTTAACTTTAATACGACGCTGTAGTTTGGCTATCTAATCAATTATGTTGTATATACAGGCGTGTGGATAACATCGAACAGCAATCCCACCATACGCAAGAACGAAATCTATAATGGCCATCAGGGTGGCGTCTATATCTTTGGCGAGGGTCGCGGACTGATTGAGCACAACAACATCTATGGGAACGCGTTGGCTGGTATTCAGATACGGACGAACAGCGATCCGATTGTGCGGCACAACAAGATTCATCATGGCCAGCATGGCGGCATTTATGTGCACGAGAAGGGTCAGGGTCTGATTGAGGAGAATGAGGTGTACTCCAATACATTGGCTGGCGTGTGGATAACAACGGGCAGCACTCCAGTGCTGCGACGTAATCGCATTCACTCCGGCAAGCAAGTGGGCGTCTATTTCTATGATAATGGGCATGGCAAGCTGGAGGATAACGACATCTTTAACCATCTGTATTCGGGTGTGCAGATACGCACTGGCAGCAATCCGGTGATACGTGGCAACAAGATCTGGGGCGGCCAGAATGGCGGCGTGCTGGTCTACAATGGCGGACTGGGTCTGCTCGAGCAGAATGAGATTTTTGACAATGCCATGGCCGGCGTATGGATAAAAACCGACTCGAATCCCACGCTCAAACGGAACAAGATCTACGATGGACGCGATGGCGGCATATGCATATTCAATGGCGGCAAGGGTATACTCGAAGAGAACGATATATTTCGTAATACGCAGGCGGGCGTCCTGATCTCTACGCAATCGCATCCGATACTGCGACGCAATCGCATCTATGACGGACAAGCGGCTGGCGTAGAGATAACCAACAATGCAACAGCTACGCTAGAGCACAATCAGATATTCAAGAATAAATTCGGTGGCCTGTGCCTGGCCAGCGGTGTGCAGCCAATTACGCGCGGCAATAACATATTCAACAACGAGGATGAGGTGGAGAAGGCCGTATCCAGCGGCCAGTGCCTGTATAAGATAAGCAGCTATACATCCTTTCCCATGCATGACTTTTATCGCTGCCAGACCTGCAATACAACGGATCGGAATGCTATATGCGTGAATTGCATAAAGAACTGTCATGCCGGACATGATGTTGAATTTATACGACACGATCGGTGAGACATTTATTTAATTATATATGTACCATACATCATTTAATTGCCTGTTGTTTATTTGTGTAGTTTCTTTTGTGACTGCGGTGCCGGCACCCTGTCCAATCAGTGTCAGCTGCAGGGCGAGCCCACGCAGGACACGGACACGCTCTATGACTCGGCAGCACCCATGGAATCGCACACACTGATGGTTAACTAGGGCATCAGCAGCAGCAGCAACATCATCATCATCAGCAAGAACACACTAATGGTATTTTATGTTTTCAATTAAGCTTACAAGCTCTCAACTGTTTAGACTTTAAGACGCGCTCGGTAAAGAACAAAAAAAAAAAAAAACAAAAAACAACTCCCATACACGTGTTGCTGTACATATTCACTGAAACACATACACGCTCACTATAATACAATTCATTGTATATAAATAATAATTAATCTGCGTTCAAAATTTAAATCAATGTGCAATTTAGTTTAAACTAATTCAAAATACAATTTATGGAAATGCTTCGCTTCTCCCAATATCCCACACAAACTGTCACAACGAAACAAAATACAATTTCAAAATATTGCATTTCTTTTTGTACGAGAAACGAGATACTTGATTAAACGAAGAGACGAGCATATGATTTACGGCTGATAAACAATGATATAAAAAAAACCCTAAAAAAAAACCCAGTGAAGAAATCGATTTTGTAATGTAGCTAAGTAGAGTTTTTTTTTGGAACTTCCAATTTAAACTAAAAAATAAAGCGAAATGAAATGTATTTTAAGCCGTTGACAAACGACAAAAACAACTACAACAACAATTCGAAAAGCAATTTTAAGTATTAATAACAACTTAGATGAACGAACAGCAGCCGCTTTTTGCTTTAGCAACAAAACTAACAAGCATACAAATATATAGATATATATACACATTTATATAACTAACTATACATAAATACAGTTTACAGAATCAAAAGCGTTTAATAAGCATCAAAAATAATGAGCAATATTTCATGTCTAAATGTCAAATTTATAGCGAAAAGCATAACGAATATATTTGTGTCATTTTAGCCACTTAAGCTTCAACAAAAAAAAAAAAAAAACAGCACTGTTTCGGTTTGCGGCAAGTATTCAGAGTATTCGAATAATGCAAACTCATTATTTTAACTATAAACGTTAATACTAAGTAGCATTATACTATATGGGTAAATATATATATGTATTTATATATATATATATATATACAAATATCGCGTATGTTTTGTAGCAATACAAAGCATTTAGTTTTTTTTTATATTTTATACATATGCGCAGCGTAGATGAGTTTTTTATTGCAAATAATTTGTGCGTTTGAAATTTTTTTCTTATTAAGAACCTAACTAGTTTTGTTTTTTCTATTAATTTTTTTATATATGTTGCCAATATGTTTATTTATGTTACAATTTGCAATTCGCTTGTTTTTACATAACACAAATATGAATTAATGAAGAACAATTTAAATTTAACAAACAAAAAAAAACGAAGAAAAAAAAACAAATCATATACATAAAATACATATATGCTATATATACATACTTTACTTATCTAAATTTAGGCAAAAACAAAAATACACACACACACACACATACAAGCGCAAACACACACACATATTTCAAGTTTATAAGCGTATTAACTAACAAAACATAAAACATAAAATAATAATAGCGTTGTGCATACTACTATACACACACACATGTATTTGTATTTCGATGTAAGCAAAAGCAACGACAATTTTGAATTGTAAAACATGCACACACTCAGACACACACACAACACACATACACACCACACCACACACCTATATTATGTAGAAATGAATTTTAATGTGTTACCTACGCATCGTCGTCGTCATCGTCGTCGTCGTCGTTGTCGTCGCCATTGACTTGGACTCACAGACAACAAACTAATTATACATATACCAGGTATAAGCTAAAATTATATTTGAAATTATTTCACATAAAACAAAACAAAAGAAAAACAAATATCTTTTTAACAAGAGTGCAAACCAGTTTTGAGCCTAACCGGTTCGACAAACCGGAATTTCAATTTGATTTTTATTATGAACCAGTTGCCAAAATGGCATTCATAGCATTTAACCTTGTCGCATTTTATATTGGAAAAATTGTTCTCTTGCATTATTTTCAATTGTAAATTGAAAAAAGGAATTGCATACAAATTATGAAAATCTAAGACAACCTGATGTAGTTACCAGCTATAGAAAGTGAGCCCAAAGGCAGGAAGTTGGTTCGAACTGCGCAAAGAACAGAAAAGAATTTCTTTTGAAAATGCTCTTCACATATCGAACCAAGTTGCCGTATTTGGCCATTTAATTATTCGTCTTTTGATACAGGGAATTTAATTCTGTTTGCTTGCACATAACATGGCCACAATGTCACAATGATTGCCCACCTTGGCATATTGTATAGGCCCCAGGCCGAGCGAGTCCTTAATACTGGGATTCTCATAAAAGGGCAACAGATATTTCACCACATCTGTTTTGCCCAGCTGGCATGCATGATGAAGCGCTGAACGACCGGTGCCGTCGACTACATCTAGATTTGCACCCGCCAAGCGATAGGACTCTAGACGTTCGATTCGGTCATGCTCGGTCAGGGAGCGCAGTTTCTCTGCCAACTCCACTGGCTCTTCCGGCAGCACAGCGCCCTTCTTTAGCAATAGTTGAATAATCTCATGATTATCCGAATCGATGGCTTCGTGCAGTGGCGTCCGATTGAATCGATCGGTCAGGTCCACGGGAGAACCCTCTGCCAGCAGGCACTTGACGCTGTCTTGTTTGCCCAGAAAACAGGCCAGATGCAGTGCAGTGCGTCCCTCGGTATTGGTATCGCTGAGGTTTGCACCGTATTGTCGCAGATTTTTCAACTTAACCACATCGTCATCCCTGACGGCTGCCTCGACAAGCGCCGGAAAGAATATGGAGCACATTTGATGCCGCTCGCTGGACATGGATAAATGCAATGTGCGTGCCACGCCCTCAATGAAATCAATATCGTTTATTTTTGCCGCTTTGTTGGTGGTCATCTCGCCGCGCAAGCTTACCTCCAGCATATTTTTTTTATTGCAAAAGTCCCATTCCCTTTTGCCAAGCACATAGGCTAACTTTGTTAACGCAGCCTCCTGTGTCATATCACAGCCCGAGATCACGCCCGTTTCCATCCAAGTGCCCGCCACGTTAATGGGAGAAACTGAGCCCTTTGGACATTGCGATATATTCACAATCAGGACTCCACGTTTGACGGCCTTGCAAATCTCATCCATGAGTTCGTCATCGTTGCTGGGCAAATTGCCGACCCCAAAGCTCTGTATAACAACGCCCTTCATGGGCTCGCTGAGAAAGGCTCGCACTGCAGCTGCAGTGATGCCTGGATAGATGCGCAGCAAACCCACATTAGGCTCCAGCTCTGTGTGCAGCGAGAAGGTACCCAGATTGCAGGATCTAAATATTTTGCGGCCATTAATGTCGATATTTGCGCCAATTGTTCCGAGAAACGGATGATTGGGCGATTCGAATGCATGAAATGAGTCCGGGTTAACCTTTGTGCTGCGGCAGCCACGCAACACCCGACCACCAAAAACGATCAACACCTCGGGAATGTTATAGTTGCCCGCCAGCATCAACGACCCAATAAAGTTGTCCCGTCCATCTGTTCGCATATCGAAAATGGGTAACTGGGCGCCCGTAACCACAACGGGTTTACCCAAATTCTCCAGCAAAAAAGCCAGCGCAGAGGCCGTATAGGCCATGGTGTCCGTTCCATGCAGTATAACGAAACCATCGTATCGATGGTAGGCGTCCTGCAAATAAAAGTGCGCTTTAGTTAAGCTTTGGGTTGGAGTTGGGCTAATGCGTACGCCCACGTCGTTGGCTATGCGTTGCCAGTCCTTCGCGTTCATGCAGCTAGAGTCCGTTACCGACGTATATTCATCCAAATCATACAGCACACGTAATTCGCCTTCCACTGTTGGCAAAACCAGCCACTGATCTTCATTTTCGCTGGACTGCTTGTAGGTTTTATCGTGGCAGCAGGGATATTCGCGCAGTCGGTTGAATAACTCATTTTTTATGGCCACCAAGGCTAAAAATGTATTTGATTTCTTTTAATTTGCAACAATTATGATTTTGTCACATACCGCCCGCATCATTGCGCATCATGCCAATAGAACCTCCGGTGTAGATGACATGCACACGCGATTCCTTTTTTGAGCTGCACAGACATGTGGCGCTTGCCATCTTTTCCTACTGCCACGGAACTCTACTTGAAAAAGTTATCTAAAAGTTTGTTTGAAAACTTAACGTCACAAATTTTGCTAGGCAACTGACATAGTTTCAAAACAACAAATTTAAGGCTTTCCGTTAGGTGGCACTGCCAGATGCACATAAACAGAAGAGAACTGCCAATGTTGATACTATGACCAACTGTTACTTTACGAAATCCCATATTACATATAATTAGGCATTTGAAAGATATTGGAGCTGTTGCAATATTTGTTTGCATTAAATATTATTATTTTAAATATTCGCTTATACAAAATACAAGTAGTATAGTTTTGATTGCTGTTAATAACAGTTTACATATGTTAATATGAGCAAATTTTCTGTTAAGCCACATTTGCGCCTAGCTGCCGAGCAGACTAAGGTGTGACCGTATTTATAAACATGTTAGATGTGTAAACACACATATGTGTGTGCACACATGTAAACAAATTGGGAAGCGTTGAAAGCGGCAATCGCATGTGCCGGGGCCAAACAAATAATTTAAACGAACAGCGGCATATATTTTGGCATTGATTTACAACTGTGTGAAAGCGTCAGGCGATATTAAAATGAGTTCGCCAGTTGCATGCAGAGAACAGCAAGCGTGTGTATACAAATTGTTAAGATCATTGGGCGCGTTTAGGATCGCTGTCAAACAACAATGGTGACGTCACGTGCTACTTCTTTTTATGAGTAACGCACCTGCACAGACTTGAACCTATGCCATGAGGCCGTAGTTCAGGTCTCCAGGATTCTATTTGGATAACTAAAAGGAAAACATTCGCATAGCATGATTCGAAGTCGACCAACTTGCTGACAATATAATTAAGATATAAAACAACAATTTGCAGCATGTCATTAATTAATTAGAGCAACAACAATGGACTGATGCGAACAGTTGTTGCCGATGTCTGCCAAAAAACAAAACAAAAAGAAAATCAAAAAGAAAAGAACGAAGCATGCAACAGCAACATAAACAGCCCAGTGGCAACAACGGCAACAACAAATTATTTGCTACAATTGAGCAATTTGCTAGCTCTGTGTTACATATAGGCAATATTAAAAATAAAGTACGAGCGCCCAGCGAAAAGGCAAGAGCACATCACCTGGTCGCCCCGCCCAGAGTGCAGCTAATCGACTAGGAATCCCGTTTAGAAGATGAACAAACGCGGCATCATCATTTTGTGCATCATTGCCACGCTGCTGTGCATTGGACTCGGCGCCAACTTCTACTTCATGTACTACCTCAATGCCGAGGAGGGGCAGCTGGCGAGCGTGCGTGCCCTGGAGAACATGATCCGGCACAAGATACGACATCTGAAGCCGGCCTATCTGAATCGCAATCCGCGCTTTTTCATGTTTCGCAACAAACTGCTGAAGAACTATAAACAGGCAGCATACGAGAATGCCAGCGTGCTCTGGGAAATTGCCAATTGGGTGAGTTTGCTATTCATATGCCAATATTTAGAGTTATTCAAGTCTTTTTTAATTGCTTGCAGTGGCCGCACGAGAACGAGATATATCCATTGTATGACTCCTCCATGGGTCAGCTGCTGAAAACGCTGCGGGAGGAGCCCATAACACGAGCCAGCAACCTGGCACGCGGCACACAGCTGAAGCTGCTGTTGCGTCTCAGCCAGCAACAGAAGGTGATCTTCAAGCCACAATGGTATCCGCGCGACATTGTGATCGAGGGAGTGGTTTATAGTGGAAAAGATCGTCATGTGGCAGAAGTGTATGCCTTCTATTTGGGCGCTGTATTGGATCTACGCTGGACGCCCATTGTAGTGGGTCGTGTGGTGAATCTCAAGGATGAGATCTATGCACATGGCGATCAAGAGCTACAGAATACAATTAAAATAGAAGTGGACGATGAGGGCAAGGAGACATATTGTTTGTATGGCAAATGCCACTATTGCAACGAGGAGGAGTCCATCTGTGGCGATGAGCAGCATAACATTGAAGGCGTCATCATTTACATTGTGCCCGGTACGCTGGCCAAACGCCGCTCGCCTTGGCAGCGCACCTACAAGGAGGATAAACGTGCCGTCTGGGAGGATGACATGACCTACTGCAAGTAGGGAGAGACTCATCGAGTTAATATCGATTCTAGTTCAACTTATTTGTAATTTGCAGAGCGCTCAAAAACAAAATGGAAACTATTCGCCTACTGGACCTCATAGATGTGGCCATTTTCGACTATCTCATACAGAATGGGGATCGGCATCATTATGAAACGAGGGAGGAGCGCGTAGTGCTCATCGACAATGGCAAGTCATTCGGTAATCCCCATAAGGATCATCTAGATATTCTGGCACCGCTCTATCAGTGCTGTCTGTAAGTTAGAACTGGGCAATCCTTGAGTTTATTGTCTAATTGGGTATTTGTTATTATTTTTTTAAGCATACGTAAATCCACCTGGGATCGCTTGCAGGTTTTTTCCGGCGGCGTACTAACCGAAATAGTTGATCGCCTATCCAAACAGGATGCTCTCTATCCGCTCATCACAGACAAGCACAAACGTGGCGTTGAACGAAGATTACTTGTTGTATTTGCTGTTGTGGAGTACTGCATGGATAAGGAGGGTGACAAGATGTTTAAAACGCTCTAGTTCTAGTACCAATTAGATAAGGCCTAGGTTGTTATTAGTTTTAGTAAGCAGCTTGCCAAATCAAGTGCCAAAATACGCGCATCAATCATAGATAATGACAGTGAACGATTTCTTAAAATATTTAGAGATTGATTATGTATCGATTACTTCAGACCAATTGAAATAATAGTTTATATGCACAATATTGTTTAATTTCATGTCACACTTCATTGTAACTATTAGTTTTATTTATAGTTAAGATTGTTGCCTAGTATAAACAGAATACAAATTGAAAGAAAAACAAAACTAAATATTCTCTGAGTGTAGTTTCCTTTACTACATATGTCGGTATGATGATCGGTTCGAAATGTTAACATTTCTCTCATTTACTTTTTTCGCTCTTTATTAATTTTGCTGAAAGTAAACAGTTTATTAAACTGTTTATTGTTGCGATTGTTGTGTCGACTCTGCAATAGATCAAACAAAATTAATACAAATTTTTATTTTAGTGTTTACATTAATTTAAAACCTACCTTGCCGCGCATTTGAGATTTGATCTCTGTGCTCTGTGCACGTTTAGCGCCGCCTTGAAATTGTCGAAAGTCCACATTCTTATAGTCAAAGTTTTGTGCCGTTGCAGTATTGGTAGGCAGCTGCACGGGTTTATTGGAGCTCTGTGCCTGCGTGCGTGCTTTGGCCTTAAAGCGCTTATTCTTCTCTTGGCGTTTCTGCTGGCGCCTACTTAGAGCAGGAGTGGGATTTTCCGTAGGACTCTTCTCGATGGGCACTTCGATCACTGCATCATCGTCACTATCCTCTGCGTTTGGGGTTTGGTCAATGGCAGCCATTGGCTCATTCTTAACTTTTGGTTTTGCGCCTGACATAGACGCACTGGGCTTCTCTTCATTTTTATTGCGTTTAGCCAAGCTGGGTTGATCCGCTGTAGGCTGATGTTTACGTTTCAGCTGTTCTTTCAGTGGTAATTTATATACGGGATCCTCATCTACTTTTGTAGTGCTTTCCAACTTTATGTTTACTGGCGCAGGCTCTGCGGGGCACAGGCGCCGTTTGAGCAGCTCATTGTTCTCCTTAGCGGTCTGCTCTATTTTCTGCTGTTGCATGAGCGGCAAAATAGCCATGTAGCGCTTGTAAGGCATACGCATTGTCTGACTCTCCTTGCGAGCGCGCAACAAACGCAACTGATCCTCCTGTGTTGATGCCGTTTGTCTTTTGAACAAGGAGAGAGTCGGCGCAGCCAAGGGCACCGAAGGTGCTTCAAGTCTCGGTTTGCTAGGACGCTGTAATTTGCCCGAACCGTTGAGCCCAAGAAGTGTGGGCAAATCATCGCGTGTCTCCTCCTGATGCGAAAAGTCATGCGGACAGTTCAGTTTGCTGTTGTAATCTTTGTTCGTTATTTGTAAAAGAATGGGTCCAGTGATGTTGTTGGAGGCCTCTAATATGGGCTGCAAATAGACAAACAATGCACAAGGATGAGGTAAAGTGAATGTTAGATTTTCATGGGCATGCAGTGACACCACTTTCGACAGGATTAGGACTGGAGGACTTACTTTAACAAGTGGTTGTTCGCGCGCACGTAGCACGATTTGATGCAGTGTGTGGAGTTGCTGGCGCACCAGTGGCGGAATAGGATTGCAGCAGGCCAATATGCCTTGCATTTCACGGGGCAAACTCTCGGCAATCTGAAGCATCATATGATTGGGCAACACATAGCCATAGCTCTCATCCTCCTGGCGTGCGGTCGCATCGCGCCACACAAAGATGCCGCGGAGTGCAGATAATTGGCGATTGTCAAAGGAGCGCTTCGTCTTACGCACCAAATCCAGATGTGAATCTGGACCAATGTGCGGCTTGGTGTAGCGCTTCTTACAAACTTCCGTGCTCATCTGATAAACCATGCGCAAAGCCTGCGGTCCTTGCTCTGCTTGGAGCAAATCGTTTGTGAGACGCTCGTACACATAGATAAGGTAGTGTGTGTCCTGGCGCGCATAATCAATCAGTTTCTGAGGCAGTGGGCGCATACGCCAGTCTGCCAGCTGCAGGCTTTTATCCACATCAAGATCAAGGTAATGTTTCAGTAAAAATGCCAGCGATAGACGCGCCATATTTAAAGCTTTGGCAGCTCGATGCGTATCAAACATGTTAACAATATACAGGGAGAGATCGCGTTGCAGCCACTCGATATCCAAATCGCCACCGTGCAATATCTTTAAAACTTTGGGATCGGTGAGCACAAGATTTAGGATGTGCATGTCTTCGCGCAACGTCAATGTATCGAATATATAGTCTTTTGTGCGCGTCGACATTTGCACCAGACAAGTGATGCCCATAAATGTACGATACGAGTGATGCTCCACATCGATGGCTATTTGCGGCGCCTGACGCAGTTCTTCTAAAGCCTGCTTCAGTGTTTCTACATTGTCCACTAGCATCAGTTCGGTTTGGGCTGGTGGCGCCGGCAACAGCGGCTTTTGCTTCTGCAGCTGCTCCTTGGGCGGCTCGAACTTCAGCAGCTCAAACTCATACGGATGGAGGAAAGACACTACGTTACCTGCATCATCATATTCTGGCAGTAGTGCCAAAGGCTTCAATGAATTGGGTTTCTCCTTAAGACGAGGCTTAAAAGGGTTTTGTGCGCTATTGTCTACAGGCACTTTAAACTGTATTTGCGGCCGCATAATATTCTGCGCTGTAAACAGACGGGCTGAGACCATGCTGCGAGAGGGTGTGGCCGGAGCTGTGCTGTACCGATTCCAGCTACCAGCACGAGGTGTTTCCTTTGTTATTGTTGATGTTGCGGCTTTCGATGTGGATTGAACATCGACCTGGGTTTCGACCACCATGTGTGGATTGCCGCGTCTTAGGCCGCTTATAATGTCTAGATTTGTGGTGATACGCTCGAATAGAATATCATTACATTCCTGCACCAATTCCAGCTGCTCGTCGCCCTGACACCTATGTGTGTGTGTGTTAAAAATTTGTGAAATTATGTTTGGATATGTCTAAATGAAAATGATGCGCACCGTTTAATATCCCCTGAAATATTCTCCGTCTTTAAAACCTTGCTAATCAGGCCCAGCACTCGCTGCGACTGCTCCTCCAACATGCGTGCATAGCCCGGGTAACTCAGATAAAGCGAACGCGCTGCACCTTGGGGAAACGCATTACAGTTGCGTGTGGCAGCTACAACATTGCGAAAGGCCTCCTGAATGTCAAGATAAAGGGTAGTTATCGTGGTTAATATTTACTGCATACACTTACCGTGGTAAAGCTGATCAAGTCTGTGGGCTCTGAGCTGGTTTGGGCATTAGCATCCACTTCGGGTCCTGTCGACTGCTCTGGCTGAGTCGGATTGTTTCGCTTTGGTGGCTGCGGCATTGTGTGTGTGTGTAATTTTTTGCAGTTATTCTATATTTTTGTTTTGAATGGTCTTGGAATTGCGGACTTCTTTGATGTTGTTCTCTTGTTGGTCCGGTGATTTGTTGGGTACAAAAATGTGCGTTTCTTCTTCTTCCCAAAGAATTGAAAACACCGATAATTTAGGGTTGTCAATACTACTACCAGCGACAAAATTTTAGCAACTCATTGAAATCAAAGACTATTAAAAACGCTCCAATTCGAGCTGGCCATTCAATTTTACAGCGAAAAAAATTATAAAAAATTGAATGAGAGATTGGAATGATTTCGACAACATATTCGACCGCATCATGTTTTTAATCTGTCGACTGACAGACCTGGCTATTGTTATCGTCAGACAATTAAATATCGAAAGTATCGAAAATCGAAAAATCGCTCAATACTGTATACAATTATTCAACACTGATTCCAAGCAGTAGAATGATCAGCATGAGGTGTGTTTAGTTATTAATATTTTTCTAGCACTTGCTGAGGTTGCTGCACTTTTGTACGATTATCCTAAAAACGTGTTGATCGATTTTTATACTTTTTTAAAGATTGGTTACTTGAAACGATAGGTCTGAATCGTGTTTATGAAGTTTTCGGGGTCATTATCTCTGAAATAAGCTATCTCAAGAAACCCTTGGCTTACCCGTATCACAAAAACTAATAAATGTAGACAGTAAATAAATTCATTTATTGCAACTCTGCAATTTAATTTTCTAGGTTTTGTGCTTGAAAACATAAATAAATGAATTATAAAGTGACCGATTCCTATTCCGATACCAAGTACCTAAACTCGATGCTATGTCACGCCGCTAACTTGACGTACATTTAATTTGGCGCCCATTTAAGCACATGAGTATTTCGTGTACCGATAACTGAAAATGGGCGCTCGCATCGAATATCGATACCAAACTCAGCAACAATAATAACAAGCTTGTTGTTTTCTTTATATGTCTAGTTAACATGTCTTCAAGACCGCGACGTCTGGCAGCTAAACAATCGGTTATTATTGACATATCCGACTCGGAAGATGATACCGCTGGAGCGGAAGAGAATGATGAATACAGGCCAACAGAGACACGACGTCGTTTTATAGATCGTGCTGCAGCATTAGTAGCATCTGGCTCGTAAGCCCCTCCATATTTAAACAACATTTGATAAACAATTTACATTAACTATTTATCTTAACATAAGGGATACAAGAAAACGTAAAAAGGAGCCCCAGAACAGTGTCTGCAAAGACGACGCTCCAGCAAAGAAAAAGCGCGCGAAAAAGGACAAAGAGAATGCAATCCCTAATCAAGGCAGCGATGTGAACGATGCAGCCGTAGAACAGCCATTATCAATAGCATCAGAGCCAGATGGAGGCGCACATAGCCTAATTCCAGTAACTCCTAGTACCTCTACGGGTCGCAGCTCTTTCTGGGAGCGACGCAAAGTCTGGAACATACATGAACTCTTAGCCGAGACAGAACACATCCAACCCACAGCGGCACGGAACATTGTTCAGCTCTTCGAGAATGAGAATACCATTCCATTTATATGCCGGTATATTTAAAATATAGGTTTTCTTGATTAATATATATATCATGGTATTTATGTGTCCATCGTTAGCTATCGACGGGATTTGGTGGATCACATAACACCAGACCGATTGCGTGACATACGAAACACTTACACGGAGATTGTGGATCTGCGCAAGAAGGCAGAGAACATCGTCAATCAGCTGGAGCGCGAGAATGTGCTCAATACGGAAATACGTGAGGAACTGTTGTGCGCTAAGACCACTGAAGAACTTGAATTCTTGTATGCACCTTATAAACCGGCTAGCAAGGGCACTTTGGCAGAGCGTGCCAAGGCTTTGGGACTGCAACAATATGCTGATGCCTTACTGTATGGAACAGCGCCAAAAGTGCAGTTGTTCTCGGTTGTTGACCCGACCAGCAAGGACTTGGCCACAGAGGAGCAGGTAATGGTGGGCATATGCAACATTATGATACACAACATAAGCAAGAACACAAGGATACTGGAGGAACTACGACGGCTGTAAGAGCATAACAAGAGCTGGACATATCCACACACCCCCTAAAATGTTATTTTTTTAATTGCCAGACAAAACGTACAGCGTATTGTGCTCACGTGTAGCAAAGCTAAAACGACGACAGTCTCAAAGGCGGCGGCTGGCCGTAAACCTGCTTCTAGTGGCGTTGCGGACAAGAAGCTGGACAGCTCGAAATTCGAGAACTATTTTAATTTTCAATGCGATATAAAGACAATTAAGCCACATCAAACCCTGGCCATTAATCGAGGCGAAAAGCACAAATTTCTGTCCGTAAAAGTGCAGACTAGCAATTATTTAAAGAATGATCTCATGCGTTTTATATCGCAAGAGTACATGTCCGAAGGTCTTCAGTATCCTTTGCGTAAGGAGGTATTCACTCGCGCACTGGAAGAGTGCTACACAAAGAAATGTAAGCCAGTACAGAACAACATGAAGCAACAATTGTAATAAGAAAAACTCTTGCTAGTACAACCGCTGCTCTGCCGTCAGGTGCGGGCCGAACTTAAGGAAAGAGCTACCCGGGCAGCCATTGAGGTTTTTGGAAAAAATTTAAAGCAACTGTTGCTGATGTCGCCGTTGAAAGGTGAACGAATATTGGGCATTGATCCCGGCTATATTAATGGCTGTAAACTGGCGCTTATATCGGAGACAGCCGATGTGCTGGAAACAGGAGTCATTTATCCGCATGGACGACATGCCAATCGAACGGAAGCCGAGCAAAAGCTGGTACAGCTTCTTAGCAAATACAAGTAATTCGCTTACTTTGTATAATTTGTGATTTATTACTAATTGTCTTTTGATATATTACAGTTGTGGCGTTATTGCCCTAGGAAACGGCACTGCCTGCCGAGAAACAGAGATGTGGCTGACATCTCTCTTCCAGGCAGGCATTTTGGACAGTCGCAGCATTCGCTATAGTATTGTAAATGAGAATGGCGCCTCCATTTACTCGTGCAGCGATGTGGCCAGCAAAGAGTTTCCCAAGATGGATATGAATGAAATTAGCGCAGGTTTGTAGTGCACAAAATGACAACCATGTGAAAGACAAAATCATAATCTAAAATCTTTTTAGTGTCCATTGCACGTCGCCTGAATGATCCGCTAAGCGAGTACGTGAAGATTGAGCCACGTCACTTGGGCGTTGGCATGTATCAGCACGATGTGAACGAGAAAACGCTAACAGAAACACTCAACGATGTTGTCTCCGAGTGTGTGAGCTATGTGGGCGTGGATCTAAACACGGCCAGCCTCAGTGTGCTAAAGTAGGTATCATAGATCCCAACAATCTATATCTATCTATATGTACAATTATATGCAGACACATTGCTGGTCTCTCTGAGAAGAAAGCCGAGAAGATCATTGAATATCGCAACAAGAAGGGTCCGTTTCAGTCGCGCAAGGATCTGCTCGCTGTGCGCAGCATAGGAGAGAAGACGTTTGTTCAATGCGCAGGTTTCGTTCGCATCGAACCGCTTAGTGTAGGCGGAAAGATAACTAATCCGCTCGACTGCACCTGGGTGCATCCGGAAAGCTACAAATTGGCGGAAGCGTAAGTTACACAAAATATATTTCATTTTGCCAAAAAGGAAAATGCGTAAATTCGGCACATTTACAAATTTTTCAAACTAACTTAAATTCTCATTTAACTTGTCTAACTCGGCCTGCTGCATTGAGGTGTCACTGTGCTTCTCCATATGTCCACTATCGCTAGAATCCAGTTGAGCCTTAGTTTCTGAGTGATGCTGCACCAGTTTAATATCTTTATTGCGACGATCGCATCCCTGACACCAGCAGGGCAAATACGGCTCAAGTGGATTTTTGTTTCGGCAACGCTTGCAGGTGCAGTGTTCGGTACCAGCGCGTTTAAAGCTCTCGAAGTCGCGCTCATCGCGCAACAGGGCCAAATAGTCCTCGATGGAGTGCTCCTGGGCGGCATCGATTAGCTGTGCCCAGGTCTTGTACTTGCGCACCACCTCAAAATAGTAATCGTAGAGATCTTGTATAGTTTGCAACACCGTTTCCAGATTTATTAGATACGGACTGTCCAGCGTGCGGTCCAGCTTGTCCAAACGGTTACGCAGCTCAGGCATGGCGTCACGTATGACCAAAACAGCTGCAGCCAGCTCGGCGCTGCAGAATGCAAAGATAAGCGAAGGGAATTTTGAATGTACAAGAAAGTTTACTTGGATTGCTTGATGGCATTATGGGCCTTTTGAAATTCGCAGAGCGCGCGCGTGTCTGCCATCTGGCTTAGGTACTCTGGATAGATCTTTATGCCACAAGCAGATCCAATCAGCAGGCGACGGCGTATGGATTGATAGCGCATTTGTTTGGCCATCTCTATTTGCAGCGTCTTGGCCTCTGCCAGCTGACCCTCTAGATTCGCAAATAGTTTCTCAATGAGCAGTATCTGCTGATGCACACACTGCTCCAGGCGAAAATCGCAACGTGTGTAAATAGTCTGACAGTGATCAAAACTGGGCATAAGGAAATTGGGTGGAATGGTGGCACCGCGACATGGCGGCGGCAATGGACGACGCTTGTAACGTTCAGGCGGATAATCCCAGCAGGGGCCGTAACGTGCATCCGCTGTCATGGCCATTGGAGACTTCCAACACGGCATATTAGTCTTCGGTATCCCATAATTGGGATTTTTGCCACAAGCAATAAAACGAATCTTGGGCACCTTCTGTGCCGGCGGATAACTCCAACGCTCTGCGTATAGCTTCTTGAGCTCACTGATCTTCATTTTGGGCGACATATTTTATCAAAACAATTGAGAATATTCCTCTATGCAACATGTACGAAACTGAAAACTAAAATAATTTCGTTGGTCTTACAGCATTATACAGGAATGTGAGTTAAAACTCTCGGATATTGGCAAGGCTAGCTTTATGAAGCGCATCAAGGAGTTCAGCAAGTCGCAGCACAATCTCGAACAGCTTGCCGAGCAGCACAAGCTGCACATGGAACGCGTAAGTACGGCTGCACCTATACCATTTATGATCGTCCACTAATTCCTCTCACTGTTTCCAGTTAAAGTTTGTGCTTTTTGCCCTTCAGCGCAAGCTGCTGCAGGATTACCGCGTCGATCTGGACAAACGGCCATTGTTCAAGCAGGGTCTAACACGCCTGGATGAGCTCAGCATTGGTGATGTGGTCACAGGTGAATTATTTAATGCAAAATCAAATATAAAACTTACAAATAATAACTGCTGCTCAAACTCTTCACTAGGCGCAGTCACCAACGTAACGCACTTTGGCGCTTTCGTGGACATTGGCGTGGAACGCGATGGCCTCATACACAAAAACCACATGAATAATTGTGATCTTAGCATTGGGGATCGCATAATTGCTTCCGTGCTAAAGGTGGACATGCAGCGACGGCAGTTGGGCTTGCGTCTGGAAAACATGCTGCAAGAGACGGACACATCCTTTACGTTGAAAACCGAGTAAAACCGAAACACATTTGGCGCATAGTTTTTGTTTTAAGTTTTTAATGAATTTCATTTTAGGTGAATGGTTGTTACCTTAACCATACATTCTTGTTTGTCTAAATAATATGTATGTCTATATAATTAGCACTTAATTGTCTCATCGAGCGGCTTTGTTTAACGAAAATTGTTTTTTTTTTTTTAAATTTCTAGAAATTTGAGTTTACAAATGAGGTTTGTTTCTGCGCAGCGATTAAATAAAATATATATACATATTCTTCATAAGCAGCATAAGTTTTGGGTATTCTTTTTTTTTTTGCAAATATTTTGTTTCATATTTCAATTTATTGCCGTTTCAATAGAATTGTTAAAAATAATTATAAACAATTGTTATACAGTTTACATTTACATAATTACACAATATAATATATATTAAAAAATACACATACGTATGTAGTCAAAGTTATTGTATTTCGTTTTATTTGTAATTCTTATGTGTGATTCATTCTCGATTCTTTTAATTTCATATTCTAACTACGTGGACTTGTCGCGTAATCAACCAATTGTTGTCATATAAATAATTATATTTATATATGTATTTGCAACCGTACAAAATATTGGAGAAACATACTTATCGCAAAAGGCCAATCGAGCAAATTATATATATATATTTATGTAACCTTTGCGACATAATTCGCTGTTGTTGTTATTGATGTTATTGCATATAGAAAAAGTGTTTCAATAATTTATTTTTATCATTTATAATGATAGCATAGGTAATGTTGTAAGTTTCTTTTGTTTTTTTTTTTTTAAATAATAAGTATTCTTGATGTGAATAAGCAGGGATACAGAACAAATTGCCGTTCAGCAGAGTCCATTGCCAAATAATAGAACAAAGGTAATTTTAGGAGCGTAAGCGGCTTCTTTAAGACTTCAATTAACAATTTAGGTGAAAACTAGGGGTTAGGACTTGACTGGCAGGGTTAAGCTCTCAGCAAAAGTGCCTGCAATCATAATGCGATATATAGTTAATATGCTATATATTAGATTCTAAGACCGACGTGGGTTAAATTTCATATTTAAAAACCAAATAATTGGGCTGTAAATCTTTTTTTTTTTCGATCTTTTTAGTACTCTGTTGAACGAACGTTTTGTGTACAGGATCCAAAGACCCTTAACAACTTGCGATTACAAATAGTCATCATCATCATCATCATCATTATGTTTTATGTAGCTTAATAAATGTACATAAATTCTGTTATTATTGGCAGACTGTTTTGGGCGCCGCACGGCACAGCCGCAAAGCGCGAGTGTTTTTTCTTTTTAGTTAGTCTCTAATCCCCCCTCCCCCGATCCCTTGCTCATCGTCATCGAGTGATCATCTAGTCCCCCTCCATGTGAGTGATGCATTGGTGTGCGAGTTGTGTGTGTGGTGTTTTGTGTTGTGGCAATTGGAGTATTTTATCATAGACATGGGCTGCATTAAACAGAGAAATAAGCACAAATTAAAGATTTATGAATAAGTTATCTATTTGATTTTTATGGTTGCGGCACTTACCAATTGCCAAAGTGTTTTTTTGTGTATAGTTAAAATGATGAAAATCAATAGCGAAACGAAAATGCGTAATTATTTCTTTTTCTTCTCTTTTCTGCAAGTGAAAATCAAATTTGCTATTAATACAAATTATATACAAGTAAAAAAAAAAACGTATATATGCATTGTTGAAATATAAATAATAAAAAGAATATAATCAGATAATATATAATAATATAAATATATATATGTATATATACAGCCAAGCTATACAAACTGGACAGTTTACAATAACGTTAAAACATTGAAATTTTGCATTTGACTTGCTCACATTTGGGGCGAGCCATTTGTAAGGACTGATTCTCTATAGATTGCTTGTTCTTGCAGTTTGTTGCTGGAGTTGTTTTTTTATTGTTGTTCTTGTTGTTGTTGTCGTTGTTGTTGGCTCCAATGTGCAATTGTTGCTTGTGATTGCTGTTGTGGGGGGATTTGTTGTTGTTTTTGTGTCTTCGCTAATCGAAAAATGTGACAAAAAATTGCATTCTTATATTTAGCTTTTGAAATAGGAGAGCAATTGCCGCCAGGGCGCCAGACAACAGCAGGTGCCATCGAACCATCTGTAAAAATTTAAGAATTCTTCTTTTTGGTTTTTGCCATTTTGCTTGCTTGATATGAAAAATAACGCAACAGAACAGGGTATATGCTGAAAACAAGCAGCATTTGCATATGAGTTGTCCACATGGTTAGCATGACTCTTATATATTCAATAAATCAGTTGTTCTTTATGTAATATGTATATGAGTGTGTGTGAAATATGTTTGTCTAACAGCTAGGCCAAAATTACATTGTTTTTTAAACAGCAACATTAGGGTGTGTGGGTGTGTGAGTGTGTGTGTGTGTTTGTGTGTGTGTGCGCGCGCATACGACTCAAAGAGCTCTATTTATATTAATTGAATTGTCATACTACAACTAGTTACATTAAAATGTATTCGCTTTATAAACGACTTTACCGATTTAGATGTATATTTAGAATGCGTTTAGGCAAGGTATAAACAGTAAACTTTGCTACATTTGAACCACATTAGTGTTTTTTTTTTTGTGTTATTTTTTCATCTAAAATTTTTGTCGAACGCCAAAAACTGTTGTTTGCTACGAGTGCTACAAAATCTTATTTCTGTTACAGTTTTTCTTGTTATACTAGGCGAAACTTTTCTTTCTTAAACTCTTAATAAATGTTCTATTCACGAGTTTTCACAGTAAATTGTGTGGCTTTAAAAAAAAAAACAGACTTTAATACAAAAGCAAACAAATTGTCATATTAACTAATTAGATAAGGCTTCTTACAGTTTTAAATGCCTACGCGCATCAATTTAGACTGAATTAATTATTTTTTAGGTTTTTGTTTTGTTCTAATTTATGATTAAAGCTTTCTGCATGGTCTGACAATTATAATATCGATAGGGTCATACGCCTTGGACACAGGAATAGGGCAAAGCGTAACAACAAAACTTTTAAAACACAGGACGGTTTGTATTTACATAAATGTTTGTTGAGTTAGTTAGACGACTAGCCGACAAACACAACAATTAACAAAGCAACACAAGCGGAGGAGTGTAACAACACAGAAAACAAGTAAAATTAACAACACACAAAATAAACAAGAATATAACTTATTAGAAAGGGCATTAAACCACACAAGCTGAGAAAACTCCCATTACGCGTCAGCCAATGTCCTGCTGGGCATTGCCGCTAGAGGAGGAGTTCCTGCCGCGCTGTTGTTGACTATACCTGCTAGTGGTTGACGGCTGTGGCTGCTGCTGCTGCTGCTGTTGTTGAGTATTAATACTTTGCGGCGTTGTGGGCATGCTGCCTGTGCCCACAGGGAATGTGTCCGCGTCCTCCTCAAGTGTTGGCGGGGCTGCCTGCTGACATTGCAGCTCCATTGGCTGCTGATCGGTGAGCAGTTTGGCGGTTAAAATGTTTACATAAGCCTCGTAGCGACGGAGCTGATAAATAAATACATTAGTTAATAGTTAGGGCCAAACTGTTGCCCGTCAGGACCTACCTCATATTGCAAGTACGCCTCCTTCTCCTTGTGATTCTGCAGCGGCAAACCTTTGCTGGGCACGGGCGTCTTTTGATGCTCCTTCAGTTCATGCTTTAGTTGAGTAACTTGTAACTCATGCGATTCAAGCTGCTCCTTCTGGATATTTTAAAGGAAACGAATAACTAAATAAATTTATAAAATATAATAGCGTTGCACCCACCATCAACAGTTTAGTTTGTGCACTGGGCAACAGCGGACGCTGGAAACGCTTTTGACTACCCACACCGCCTTCTAGAGGCGGCGCCGAAAACGCTGCGCACACATAGTTGATGGTCTCTACCCAGGAGTGCAGCTCCTTGGAGTCGCTGGTCTGAAACAGATACTCGGCCTGATCGGCTGTTTGCAGCCGGAACACATGTTGCTTCTTAGTGTAGTCGTTGGCCATGGTGGCCAGTGCGTGATGTATGCGTATTGCATTATGCAAATTGTCGGACATCTGGAAAGGAAAACAGACGAAGGGGTTAAGTTGACATGAAACTTAATACACCCACTGTCTAACTCACTTGACTTTTGCGAAAGCCGTGCTCGTCCTTGTGCAGATATAAAACAAGATCGCGCAGCGTTATAAAAAACATTTTCCAAGAGCGTTTTCCAAACGGTGCTATAAAAGAAATTTGCTATTGCTATTGATATTTTTTAGATTGGTATTTAATTGGAAACGCACTCTTCTTGAAACTAGTATCGTAGCAGCACTTGCGCATCACATAGCCCTTTTTGTACTCCACCGCCGTGGCCGATTCAGGTGCGTCCAGGAAAGGATTCTGACTAACGCCAGTCAGTGCGGTACTGTTGTTGGCGCGCTGCTGTTGCTGCTGCTCCCCGGTCTCTTCATCGCTAAAAGCAGGGCAGAACTTTAATTAGGAGAGGTGGCTAAATAACTAATTCATTTGCTTACAGAGCCCATTCCAGTGGCTTGGTTTTGATGGCCTGATACAAATACTTGAGCACATCCTTCGGAAAGTTTTCGCCATCGTTGAGATCGGCCAAATTGTCAACGAATTCGGCACAGCTCATCTTGCGATTCATGTTTTGACCATGCAGATCTGTGTTGAGCAGCATAATGGCGCATGTTAGAGTGTGCACAGCATCCTGTGAGTTAAATGTGCCGGGATTGCAGTCCAGGAAACGTTTCGAGAAATGTACCAGCACGCGTTCGCGCTCCTGTGTCTCGCCAGATAGCGAGAATTGCTGCAAAAATTCACGCAGCGCCAGATCCAAGGATTTCTTTTCAAAATTAAAATGCTTCAAATACTCATCAGCTACAGCGCGGCTAAAGTCGTTGCTGCAAACAGAACACGACATTGCGTTAGGCCCCAGAAATGAATATCAAAATAGTAACTAACTTTTTGCTTAGATGCCGCGACACATCGCTCTTCTTGAAACCATCGAGAGAGTACAGTCTTTTGGCCAGGCGTATGGCCGAGGGCATGTCCACGGCTTTGGGCGAGTAGTGATACGAGTGCAATGACTCAACATCGCTGCCATCATCCGAAACGGGCGGCGATCCATCACGCGCCCCAATCGCTGTAAGCGGCTCCTCTGTTAGTGTGTTGCCATCCTCTTCAGATCGTGTTGCGCTGCTGGTGTTGCTATTATCCATGCCGCGCACCTGAATGACCAGCTTGTGCTCGGACGGATCTCGTTCACGTTCCCGCTGCTGTTGCTGGGCGCGCAACTGTTGCTTCAGCTGCTGCTGTTGTTGGCGCTGCTGGGCTGCCGCATCCGACACGAGTATGGTGGAGTCAGAGTCGCTGGGATCGCTAAGTACCATGCCGCCTAAAATATCGCGAGAACTCAATAAGTTATCGTCGTCTTGATAGTCGGGACTAGAGATATTTGATATGGCCTCTGAGACGCTCTGATCGTTGCCAAAACCACCACCACCATTAGCACCATTAGCACCACCACCATTTGGGCAGCCCAACAGACCCGGCACAAAAACAGATGGCTGTTCCCTTTGCTGCTGTTGCTGTAGCTGATTTTGCTGAAGCTGCTGCTGTGCGCTTTTCGAGCCTGACGAGGACATAACGGACGAGGACACCGACGTGGGCGAGGCCGGACTGCCGGCTGCCGAATGCTGTGGCGACGAGCTAATGGAGCTTGAATGTGAATTTGAATGCGATTGCTGACCGTAGTATTGCTGCTGCTGTTGCTGTTGCTGCTGTTGCTGCTGTTGTTGTTGCTGCTGCTGCAACTGCTGCAACTGATGCGGCTGCAGTGGCGCATTGTAAGTCCAAACGATGCGATCACGATTCGATGCCTGCATTGAGAGAACATTAATTAGAATGAGGTCAATTGGTATGATTCTTAAAACTATAAATGTATATATTTTTTGCATATGTATATATATTATATGGTCGATTTGTTTAATTTCCATATGCCGTTGCCCAATCTGAGAGGACCCTCAATAATTGCCAAGTGTAGCCGTTTGTGTGTATGTGTAAGAGTATCTGTGTGTCGGTAAGCGTTAGTTTTGTCTACATACAAACGTTTGGCACAGGTGCAGGCAACAAAGCATAAAAAATTTGCAAATGATAAACGCAGTAAGTCACATTAATTCAGAGCATGCCATGCTTAACAAATGGCAACCTTTTTGCGTAAAATATAGTTTAATTTGTTGCTGCAGCCGCCGCTTGTTGTAGCTGTTGTTGTTGTTGTTGTTGCTGTTGCCGTTGCTGGTGACAATTCGTTGTTCTCATTGTTATTGTTATTGTTGTTGCACGGCTCACTTTCGTTGTTGTTCAGCGCCGATGAGTTGTTCTTAATCGTTGATGCAGTTGTCGTTGATGTTGTTGTTGACTGGAAAGCGCGTTTTTTGTTTTTTTTTTTTTGTTTTTTTTTTTTTTTTGTCAAGAATTTGAGCATTGATTGAAAAAGTTTAGGTAAAATACGAATCAACAGAGAAAACGAAAGGAAGGAAAGAAAGAAGAAACACAAGTAAGAGTAAGATAAACAAGATAGAAGTTGTTAATTGTTGTAGAGTGGGAAAGTAAATCGTAACGAGTAACGAGTAACGAGTAAATAGTAAAGAGTAACAAGTAACGAGAGTAAGTAAAGTGACTACACAGTAATAGAGAACATTTTGTCTAATGGATTACTGTGTATGCAAAATACAGCGGATGGTATATACTAAATATGTATATTATGATGGAGTTGAACAGTACTACGTGGTTAGATCAAGTAATCCTAAGTATATTAAGGAAACCAACCATAGCTAGTTATACACAACAGTCATTACACTACAAAAAGAGTATATACTACAGGCAATGTGACACTGTGCGTGTTCTGGGGCTGGAAGTTTTCAGCTATCTCTGTTTATATGTTGTATTTTCGGCTATATTTAGGCCTGCATATAAGGCCTCTCTATAGCTATGTACAATTATTAGCTTGGGCTAACTCAAGGTCCCTTGATCCAACGCTTACCTGGGAATCTTCTGAATCGTGACGCGTATCCAGCAGCGTGTTCAATGAGCTATTCACATCCTCATCAATATCAATGGGTATCACAGCCGCAATGCCCTCGCGCTGTACCTGCTGCAGATGATCCTCAGACTTGCTGGTGCGAAAGCCTGCAGCGTCACACTTGCGCACCACGTGACCATTGTGGCGACGCACCACAACGGCCCCAACGCCAGCGGCCGCATTACTCGACTCGGCCGCCAGTGAGCTGGGCTCCGGGCTGGTGGGCACCGAGCTGGCCGTCTCCTTATCAATTAGAGGCGTCGACAGCGAAATTGGTGACGTTGGCACTGAGAAGGAGGTCTCATCCTGACCCAGGCCCAGAACCGCCTCGCTTTTAACCGTGCCAGATGAGTTGGATGTGGACGCCGAATAGCCAGCGGTCACACGTGCAGCACAATCAACGGCATCGCGATTTCGCTGTTGCTGTTGTTGCCGCATAACGCTACGCTGCTTAAGCATACGCATACGCTGCTTGGTTGAACCGGAACCGGAGCCTAATGAATTTGTAGAGTATTCCTCATCGCCGGCATCGTTGTCCTCCTCATCATAGTCATCATCATCGTCTTCATCAACCAAACACTGGCGATCGCTGTCGTCCTCGTCACCGCGACCCAAACCACTCTGGTACGTTTCGATGTTTGTGATGTCGTAATGTGTTTGATCTTCTTCGCGTTCATCCTGATCTGCCTCCAGCTCATCTTCGTTTTGGTAGTACTCATAGCGCTGTTGTTGTTGTTGTTGCTGCTGCTGCTGCTGCTGTCGATAGCGCTGTTGTTGTTGCTGTTGCTGTTGACGTTGCTGCTGGCGTTTATTGTCCCCATAGTCCGTAGTGGCATCCTCATCGCGCTCCAGCTCTTCGCACATTAACAAAGTGTCGTTGGTCAGCGAATCCCGACGATTGTAGCTGTTGTTGATGCTGTCGCGTTCCTGTTGCTGCTGCTGCTGCTGCTGCTGTTGTTGCTGCTGGCCACGGTGAAGCCTTGCCTCACGTTTATTGGAATCCGAACTAGCCGTATTAGTTGGCGAATCAACCGATGAAGAAGATGTCGGCGATGACTCGCCGGAGGCACGCGGTGCTAAGGCGCCATTGGCACGTGCATTCGCCAGATTGCGTTTCGGAAAATCCCGCAGACTGTCCACCTAAAAGCAAATTGAAAATGTTAATAGATGCGGATGAGGAAGGTTTTATATCGAGAACCATTTGCCGGGATAAATTCTGGTTTGCCCTTGGGCATTACCTTCTTGGCTTGAGCCGTTAGCAAATTGCTGGATTGGGGAGTTCTTGATAGATTCAATATTAAATCACCGGTCATCATATAAGCCTCAAAGCGTGGCGCCTTTGCCGGCTGCGGCGGTGCCGAATTCGGTTCCGGCTCTGGCTCGCGTTCCGTGTGGCGTTGCCGGGAAACGGCTGGGCTCCCGCTGTAACTGTTCGAGTGCTGTAGCGGCTGCAAGCCGTTGCCGTTAGCTGCTTTCGTTGGTATTTGGGAGGGGCGTGGTCGCTTATGCTGCGGCGACTGCACTTGTGGCACTGGCTTTTGGGCGGCGGCTTTGAGCGCCTGTGGAATGCGTGAAGGGCGAAATGTGGGCGAGGTAGCGCCGCTGACAGCTGCAGTGGGTGATGTGGCAATGTTACTGTTGCTAATGCTCGTCGTAATTGTGGTGGATTCCACCATTTGAATCTTGGTCGAGCTGGCGGAAGAGTTGCGGCTGTGCGTGTAAATTGAGGTTGTAGTGGACGCTGCCGCAATTGACGTTATCGCTGTTGTAGTTGGCGAATTCTGACGCAACGATGGCAAATGCGTGGGCGACTTATAACGCAACGCTGGCGAACCAGCATTTGTGGGCGTAGTTCCGCCCTTCTGATGCTGGCGCTGATGCTTGGGAGAGGCAGCGTTCGGGCTGCTGCTGTAATCGTAGATATTGACGGGAGATTCAATGTCCACGTAATGCGGACTCTGCGTATTGGCCAACTGTTCTTTAATGCGCGCCTTGAGCTTGGGATCTATCAAAAAAAGAAAAAGAAGTAAAACAAATGTTGGGCTATTTTTGTGCTTGACACTTGCCTCGTTTCAGTTCCAAGGTTACTAAGTTCTCCGATAGACGCAAACATTTAAGCACTGTCAATTGAATTAAAGATTAATAAATGGATAGCTATAGAGATAACACCCTCACTTACCTTCTTTTGTGGTGTGACGATGCACGTCGATGCCATTGACCTTCAATATAACGTCGCCCGCTTCGACCTGCAAATTAGATATATATATAAATATATTTACGCAAATTTGGCAACATTTGAGTAGTTTCCCGTTTAGAAGTGAGCCGAAATGGGACTCCAAAAGTATTATTGATTTTCCTTTCTATTTTTTTGTTTTGTTTTCTTTTTCTGATTGCTTGGAAGCGACAGAACACGCGGATATATCAGTCCAACTTGTCGGCGCTTGTAAGCTATTTTTAATTCTTATTTTGCTTCGCATCAACGTGTCAACAACAACAACAAGAACAAGCGAATCAGAATTGGCGCCTTATTCGCCTGTTCTGACGTCAAGAGATTGTTCACCAGGGTGGTACGCACTTCTTTAGTCAAGGCAAGGCACATAGTTTATTCCATAAATTTGATAAACATGCTGTTTAAAATATGAGCCACTTAATCCTTAAAATGAAAATCCGAGCGCATCGTTCCGAAAGGTAAATGCAAACAAGAAATTGCTTTTATTGCATAATTAATGGCGCGCAAGTGCCTTTATTTGTAGTCGATTTTATAATTTATGCATACGCGTCTAAGTTGCGACACTTTCGCTACTTTTGTCTGTCTTCTCAAAATGGCATTTGACTCGCAGCGATGCAAGTAAATAAACTTAAAAATTGCACTAATTTATGCGGTATATGCACGTTTCGTTCACAATAGTCGACAGATGAGCGCAGAGTTGCATGAAGCTCTTGCCTGCGTCTGGTCTGCACAGCAAAGAGAGCGCAGCCATTAAGCGCTGCGATGAAGAGAGCGAATGCAGCGCGCCTGCTATAAAAGGCAACGTCATTGAAATGCTGATAAAAAATTAAATTCAAGTTCCTTGGTTTGCGGGAAACAAACATGTGCATGTGTCTCTGTGTGTACATTTACGTAATTTGTTTGGAAAAAAGCGAAACTACAACAAAGAACAAGAGGTCTGAAATTTCAAGTCTATAGCTCGGGTCGGAGATGCTTCCTTCTGCCTGTTACATACATTTGGATTTTGCACAAATACAATATACCCATTTTTAATGGGTTCAGGGTATAAAGAGATAAATGAATGTGAAACATACATATCTAATGAAAAAATACGCTCTGTGCGTTCTAACACACACACACACACACACATTTGCATACCACTGATAATAGTGTGTGTGCGTTGCGTTTAAAATCTCATTGATGGTTTATGCTAATCTCATTGTTTGTAAATTTGTGTAATTAAACATTTATGTATACAGTAAAGCCGCCAATAACACTTGAAGCAATTGTTTGGAGCTTTTCGCTTTGTAACTTGGCAGCACACACACACACACACACATACACATATTGTTGCCGTTAGCCAACACAACACTTTCCTATAGATCGCTGGATCTATCGCTAAAATTGAGATATGCATGCATGCACATATGCTAGTATGTTTACGTATAATTTGTTTGCAAATTGATTTGATTTCACGACGCTCAACCTTCTTCATCTCAGTCACGTTTTTATCGATGATGTCTACTTCGTGTAATCGTGTAACGCTAAGCTAAATACCTAGTTTACCGTTGATTAGGCGTGTTCATTTGTCTTAAGAGAGTCGTGCTGCGCTCGCAAGAGAAAATACATATGTATGTATGTGTGTACATCACAAGTCAGCGGCTGGCATTGAGCAATTAAACTGTTCAATTGAACAGTTCTTCAATCGCAATCAATAAAACCTTAATAAATAAGTTGTTCATAATTGTTGGTATTTTTAGTATTTAAAGGCTATATAGCAAACGCGTTTAAATCAAATTTAATCGCCATAAACACTGATAACGTCTAGAGTTGAGGCGCCTTGAATCGATTAAATATTCACGCCAGGTTTTTGTTATCTACTCCCACATAAAAACTTAATGCACCAATTAGTGTCAAAAGCTTTGGCTTAATATTATAGATATATTAATATTTATTTCGGCTAATTTTTTTTTTATGGCAGTTGTCTTTTCTTGAACTCATATTCAATGACGCTTATTTGTTGATTGCAAATCAGTTTATTGTGCCAGCAATATCAATTAACAACAGCAACAACTGTACGCCCACCCAATCACAACCTGGCCCGGCTGGCGGCAGGCTGGCAGACAGGTATGCAGGTAAACAAGCCAATGATTTGATTGTATTTGTGTCAGCGCAATGCCATCCATGACGACGTTGGCGACATGGCGTTGACCTAGTCAAGTACGAAGCAGTGCGGCACGAGCATTGCCTTCACCGTTATGCGAAAGCATTGGGGCGGCTAACAGTGGCTGCAAATATAGTTGAACGGGCGTCGTGCTTAATGTCGTGACACGAACACATAAGACCCAAAACGTGCTCGTGTTTAACTCTTGGGGAAAAACTAACAAAATTAAAATAATTATTGATTATATTTGTATTAAACACGAAAGAAATTCACATTTCCTGATTAGTTTTTAAATAATATTTGTTTCCATGACCTGTTTTTATATTGACAGCAAAGTCTCATAATGTTAAAAGGTCTCTCGAAAAAGCTAAATGGCAACCCTTAGTGCATATTTGCACCTTTTTGTTAGAGGAAAACCCCGCCACGCGTTCATCTCTAACAGCACAAAAAATAAACACTTTCTTATGCGTCACTCAGTCAGTCGTTTGAAAAAGAGACATGAAATTTATAGAAAATCAATGTTGGGTTAAAAAACAAAAACAAGGCTTAACATAGGCGTCAAATCCACTTGCAAGTGCTGGCAATGCCACCTGCCCCTAAACAGCCATAGAGTGGCGCACTATCTACAAAAGGTAAGCAAACACAAAACAGGGCAACGCTGTGCTTAAGTGGGCTACGAGCTGGATAGCTGCGGTTCAGTCAATTTTAAACTGTTATTAGACTAATAGCTTTGCCACTTCGCATGAACGTACTTCTTTTTCGCTAGCTATTGTTTTGCGGTGTTGCCATGCAGCAGCAGCAGCAGCAGCGGCGTCTCCTTTCTCTTTCACTTGTGCTCATAGCGTGAACCATTGTGAATAGGGTGACCACTGCACAGTCACAGAGCTGTCTGTCATTTATCATCATGCTTGTCAAGCACAGCAGTCTATATCTGTCAGTTTGTCAGTCTGCAGTGACGTTTCATTTAAATACGCTGCATATACATATGTATATTATAATTTTTTTTTTTTATTTTGCTTGAGCGTATATCTGCCTAATTCGATAACAGCAGCACTGCGCGGTCGTTTATTCGCATTCATTCAAAATGTTTAACACTTGTATGTTTGTACATGTATTTGAACGACCTTGCCAGCAATACGAACTGTCCATTGTGTGCTCCCTACCGTTTAAAATGCCAGCAAATAAACACAAATTTCGTTTTATTAATACACTTTCCGTTCATAGGTGTGTAGTTGTGCAGCCGGCAAAAGAACGGAAGTCACAATAGGAGTTATAGCACCGCTTTCGTTGTGCTTAATTATGTCACTCAATTTGAGTGTCGGGTTTCCCCTACTTAGCATGTTGTTAATTTGGACGCGGTTGTATGTGTGCTGTTTCACACAAAGCTGTTTGCGAAGATTCGAATTGAGTTATTAACGCGTTGTGCGCTCCAGTGAGCTTAGTAAATACGCACATTTAAAGATCTAAAATACCATTACCGTAATTCGTTATTTAAATAAACCGTATCGCTTTGCTCCAGAACAAGTTTTTTGCGAAATTTCTAACTGTGCATTCTCATGTACATACATATATACATGGCACTTGAGTTGGCTTTCAGTTTTAACGACAATTTCACAGCTGCTTAACTTTTTGCCTATTTTAGTGTGAGACGCAGAAATAAAACTAAAAATAACAGCCGAGGCTGAGGAATTAGCACGATTCGTAACCCCTTCCTCCAACGGCCGCGCAATGTGACCTGTATTTGCATTTGTGCAAGGCATAAACTACAGCACGAGCAAACCACCCAGAAAATGTTTTTAAACAAAGCAAGAAGAAGAGAGGAAAAAATAAAAACAAGTTTATTTTTGGTGCCCGTTTTGCTATTGATTTGCGTTCGCATACAAATTCGCGACTGCACTGCACATTGTACATGCCCAAATAGCTAACCAGGGCACTAGAGGTGGGGGAATAATCCAGTCGACTACGCCAATCAGGTAGGTAGCCGGCCGGCTCGTCGGCCACTTTGCGTCTAATTGAGCATTCTTACAGCGGCAAGCAGAGGGAGCGCGAACAAAGAAACCAAGAGACAACAATAACATAGATACACACACACACACACACACATGCACGTGAAAAGAACTCAAGACGGATGACAACTACAAGTGCTGCCACTCAATTTGCAGACAAGTGGCAACACCGTCAGACAAAGTGCAGCCATTTATACATACATACATACATACATTAAGTGCATTATAAACATACATGCATACACATATATATATATGTAGTTACATAGTGTTTGGTAGCGTCTTTTGCGCCGCTTGAACGCACACAAACAAACACATTTTTAATGAAATGCTCAGATTTAGCGCAAAGTTTACTGCACACTGCGCTTTCTTCGGCTGCTTTTTGCTAGTCGAGTGCCTGTGCCTTATGCACTCATTGTTCTAACTTATTATTTCGTAAATGCTTGTTGTTATTGTTGTTGCGCTGTTCGCTGTGCCGTGGCGTGCAACGAACCGCAGCGTGCGCTCAACGCCGCCAACAACCTCTCCATAGGCCGCCCCCCAACTCAGCTTACCTCACACTTTAGTCTACTTCACCCGTTGAGCTGCCATTAAAAACTAACATAATAAACGCGCGCAATTTTTTTTTTTCTTTTACTTTTGTAATTCAATTAAAGCGAATTTACTTTAGTGTGTGCACTTTTGACTTCCAGCCCAACCAAAGAAAACTGAGAAACGACAAACTCTCTTGTTCATACGCGGACCGTTGACATTTATCGAAATGGCAAAAAGTCGCGTGCACGTTGCTTTTGTCGTATCGTGTCGTGACCCACCCACAAACTCGCGTGCTACGCACGTTGAACCCACAAACGACAGTTTGTTCAAATTTGTTGTTTCTGAGACTGAAACTGAGCTTCACTTTATATTTAATGACAATTTTCTATAAGTGTGAAGATATGTACATATGTATGTATGTATGTACGGGACGCTCGTTCGCAATGCTGACCAATCCGTGCTTAAATGTGTGTGCGAGTGTGTGTGTGTGTGTGTGTGTTTGTTTGTAAAAGTTGCACTTAGATAAAAAAAAAATCAATATAGCCTTGTGCTTTTCTTTTGTTCCTTTTGTTTGCCCGCCTGTCTGCGGCAATTAATTTCTTTTCAGACATCACAATAACAAAAGTCGTTAGTCACTTCCAGTTAAAGTCTAATTAAGCTTAGCGTTAGAATTTTGCAAGACCGAGGGACAGACGCATACATACATACACACATACATATGTACAAAAGATGACAGACAATCGTGAAAAGGGGCTGGGCAAGGAAGTGGGTGGGGAAGAATGTGGCCACAAAAATATGCAACCATGCGCGTTCAGCGGGAAATGTGAATGATTAAAGCTGTTAATGCGTCTTTTGGACCAGTTTGGAATAAGCACACACACACACACACACACACACACACACACACACACACAAACGTACGCACATACACAGCAATGTGCATACATATGTAATTGAAATGTGAACTCTGTTCTCGTTCTGAAACTGGTCTCTTTTAAAGCCACAGTCGGCTTGTAGGTAGAAATTAAAAAGCAATTTAGAAGAGCACAAACAAATTCACCAAAATGTAGAAGAACCCAGAATTTGATTAATGACGGACTCTGTATGCATGTTTGTCTTTACGTATAAGCCTGTGTATGTGTGTGTGTACATAATGTTGGTATTATAATGAAACTAATATACATACATTAATGCACATGCAGGTGCGAGTATTTATAGAAAACGAAATCACTTAAATGGAAACAACATTTGATATGGCAAACAGATTACCAGTTCTTCAGTTTTCTATATTTAATGCAATTAATACAAATTTGCCGTTCGTTGTCGTATCAAATTGTATCCAAACAAAAGCAAGCAAACACATAGAAAGTGCCTCAAGGGTTCCAACTTACAATAATAACAATCAGCTGAATAGAATGCAATAGACAACAACTTACAGTTACTTTTAGAATTAATGTACAGCAATTGGTACATTTTCATGCAATTTGTAATGGGACTAATATGTCTTATCATTAGAATTATGCAACAAAACTCAGAAAATATTTTAATTTGTACATACATATTTGCAAGTACAATTATTTAATACTTGCACATTATCTCGCTTAAAGACCAAGTAAGGGAAACGCAATGTTTTTTACAACATGTGGCAACCCTCTCAATCACAGTGTTCACAAACTCATGCATACATACATATGTTAATATTTACACATTTTAATATGGTGGTCCCAAGTCCTGTTATTTAAAAAGCTCCCTACATAGTCTCGTATATTTTGCATTGCGAATGCAAATAGAAATCGTTTTAATTTAACATTAAACTATCGCTTTAATCACGATCCAGCAGATAGCTCATATTTATACATGGACTTTACACAAGCGCATGCTTACATATTTACATGTACAGCGCAGAGTGTGTGAATTGTGCGAGATTCACAGCCCATTGAAAAAATATTGTGCACCCAGAACAACTGAAACAGGCACAGCAAAAGGCAACAAACGTAAAGACGTCGAACGAGATAGACGACAAAAATAAAAACAACAACAACAATAGCATCCCCTTTTGAAAGCAACAACAAGTTGTAAGCGAAAGCGATAATAACAAATTGAAAAAGTGCGTGCCGCTGCGTGTGTGTGTGTGTGTGTGCGTATATGCATGGGTATGAGTAAATGTGAGTGTGATTACAACGCCGGCAACGAAGTCGGCGAGTTGGTTGCTCTGTTAGCGTCGACGTCGACGTCGACGTTGTCAACAGACTGCAGGCCACGTTGCGGCTGCTCATGTTGTTGTTGCTGTCATTGTCACTGTTGCTGCGACTACGTATGCATATATTTTTCTCTTTTTAATCATTTGTCAAATTACTTAATATTTTAATTTAAAATTCCAAACACGTTTTTTGCACCCGACTCTTTGTGTCTGTGTTCCTTAACTCTTTTACACATTTCTCCTGTTGTTTGAGTCGTGCGAATAAATTTATTTTTAATAACCAAAAAGAAGCGCTCGAAAAGTCAAAAGCAATAACAATAATCGTGTACAAACATTATGTTGCCTGTTTGTCTCATTGTTTTCGGTTTTTATTTTCTTTTTACATTTGCTAAGTCTGATAACTATACACTTGCGTGTATGTGTGTGTGTGTGTGTGTGTGTGTGTCTGTTGGTGTCATGTGTGTGTGTGTGAGTGCGACTTATTTTTATAATTTTGTCTTCGCTTTGCTTTTTATAGCTGCGCTTTCTGCTTGTTGTTGTGATTGTTCGATTACTTTGCATTTCATTTGAAAACCAAACTGTTTCAACGAACTTTGTGCATTTGAAGTTGCGTTTAAAATGTGCGACACGTTCGGTACCGTCTAATGCAACTCCCGGTACGTGGACATATCCCCAACGAAGCATTTCCGATTTGTGTTTGGGATTTTCAACACATATCTTTAATAATGACCTCTTGAGGGAATTAAAATGTTTATATTCTGTTCGTAAGTTTCTAAGATAAGGAAGTCATTACACTTATGGGCAAATGTGCGTATGATATTAAAACTTCCAGAACTTAGAATGGATTGTATCAATGCATTAGACGAGTGTCTTTCTTATTTTAGTGAATATAAACATCGATTATCAAAGCCCTTTGTAACTTTTCTGTAGTATTTAGTTTAAATATAGCGTATTTTTATATATATCCACGATTTAATAAACTATATTACGTTGACTAATGCATTGTTGACCTTCGACTCATGGAGATCATAAAAAACGAATATCCTGTGAGACAAACCCTTTATAAAAAACTGAAAGTGATTGATGCGCAAAGCAAAATTGTTAAGAATCCAATTTGAAGAGTAATTAAAGCTAAGAATAACTCATTTGATAAGAAAAGGTTGTGCTGCACAGCCCCAAGATAAAAGATACTTCAAAGATATCGTCTAACAGAATTAATTTTTCATTTTCAACAACAAAACTGTTGATTAATCTCTTATCTATTAATAGCTCGCTTATCATAAGGAGAGAATTCTCTCACGACTAGCAAATACTAACTAATTTTTAATATATTATGCAATAGCATTTTGAGGTACATCTTTTGCGTCACGATTCTACAATGCAAATGATTTATTGGCTTTCAGATTTATTAAAATGGAAATGGAAACTTAAATAAATATATAGAAAAATGAATTGCCAATTCTCGCATTTTATTTTTTACTGGCTGTGCACACACCCAGACAAACATTCATGTGTTTATATTTTTTATTAAATTGAAATCGAAATGAGCAAATGGGCAATTCATGGGAATTTCAATAACAAAAGTAAATAGAAGTGAAACCCAAACGAAAATTGATACATAGCGGTAGTTCTGTGTATGTGTGAGTGTGTGTGTTTGTGTGGTTTATACTGTGGAGCTGTCACTGCGCCCGGCTAGTCAGTGCCAGCGCCCCCAATAAAATGGCAAGTGACACGATGACATCACAGTGGGCGTTATTGAAGATGGGCAACGCCGATGACTGCGTCGAGGTCGCGGTTCGCGTTCCGCGACTTCTGGCAACATTTTGCCTGCAAAATTGAGTGCTTTTCACACACACACACACAAACACACACACACACAAACACACACACACACACTCAGAAAATCATCAAACGTAAAAAATGCGCTTATCAACAGCGGCAAATGCGACGAAAAGAGGGTGTTGCTGGGCATATTCACTACTTGAGTCCCTTATGCTACCTCGGTGGTTGATGAAGTCATAGGGCAGTCTCAAATGGGAATACGGCAACGCCAAGTAGGATAAGAGAGTTTGCGGTAAAAGGCGATAGAGTGCAGTCTTGGCATGGTTAAGCAGCGGAAAGAGTGTGTACATATGCGAGGATTACTTACCGCACCACAATCGGCGGCCGGCGAATTCTCAACAATGTCGTAGATGACATGCGGCGGTCCAGTTGTGCCGAGCAGCGAAAACCCGAAACCGGAATGCTGCTCACTGCGACTGCGGCGCAGCACCACTTTCAATTCCTCGGTCATTGCGCGACGCTGACGTTGTCGCCCACTGCTGCTGCTGCTGCCGCTCCCTGTGCGGGTGTGAGTGTGTGTTTCTGCTGTTTTCGTAGTCGTTGTTGTTGTTGCTGCTGCTGCTGCAATTTGCTGAACACCTGGAACTGCTGACCGCTGCTTACTGCGGTATTTCTTTTTTGACTTGTATTTAATTTGCCAATGTGTTTGGCGCTCTCGTCATTTGCACTTTGTTTTAATATTTGTAGCGTTCTACTCTCTCGTAATGCTTGACTGAAGTTTTGGGCTTGGCTGTCGCTGCCGCCACTTCACAACTTCTTTGCGCACTCATTTACAATTGCTTTTATTTCACTTACACGCAGGCAAAAACGCACACATAAACACGCACGCAAGCACAGACACAAACACACACACACACACAAACACACACACAAGTACAACTTAAAAATTGGCTGCTAGTTTGTTGATCATATTTAACAATTCAATTGCTGCCCAGGCTTTAGCGCAGCTTTCTTTTAACGCAATTTTTCAGCTGCCGCATCTGCAAACACAAAAACTTGTTAAAGATTTTCGGTGTTTTTTTTTTTAGAGATTTTTTCTCTCTCTACTTTCAACACTTCGCCGCAGTCGCTGCTGCTTTGCTGCCACTTCTGCGGCATGTAGTTTAATTTGTCATTGCGGCGCGCGTTTGTACATTATGTTGTGCTATTAACATAAGGGCTAACTTACTTTGCATTAATTTAATTAATTAATTTTCGAAAAAAAAACTGATGCGGATGCGCGACTCGCGAACCGAACACCACGGACGCCTTTCTGTTGTTGTTTCAGTCTATCGATATTTAATAGCCGCATTCGTTTATATTCACCTAGGTATGAGAGTGCATATCGAATGGTGTATCCATTCGATTTTTTATACATGGGAGCATTTTCATATTATCGCTTGTCAGCAGGCACTAATTAAAAGGGGTCAGAAAATATACAATTTTAAAAAGGTGTAGCAAAAAGCCATACTAATTTATTTCTAATTGATATAGGCAAATCAAAAATTGATATTCAAAAACAGATATTAATTTATTTTTTATTTACTTATATCAGTATTTTAAGAGTTGAGTCCATTCTCTTAATGGCGTTGCCAGATGTTGTGTGCTGTTTGGCGGTTTTGTTGCGAGTTTAAAATTCAAATATGTCACTAAGTTCCGAGATTATTATTTTATCAACTAAACTTTAAAAAAAACTATGGTTGCTTTGTATTATTAATATTGCAACTTTTAGAATAATGATGACATCAGGTTGCATGCCAACTAATAGACAAGTTGCGGTCAGTGGGTAAAGTTGAGGAAGTGGCACAACCAAATGATGCGCGAAAACTAAAAAGCGCGTGCAATTGGCAGTCAGTCATCTACTATATAATACCCCAACTGACGATCGACTTTTACGAGCGATATTAAAATTTTAGAGTTCTTCAAAGCGCACAAAGCACTTGACTCATGTTTGTTTGTAGACCTAGAACCACACACATGCGCGCTGCAGCTACTTCCGTTTTTAGTCAGTTTTCTTTGTTTTGTTTTTGAGATCAGCGGGCTGGTCATCCGAGTCTTAGAAAAACAACAACATAGTTTGTGGGTGTCACAAGCGCTCAAAGGCAAAGCAGAGCACGCGACGTTACGGCTGGTTGGTCGAGCCGGCGGTGTGGGGAGCTGTGTGTCCAGATGTTGCGCACAATTATCATATCAGCAGCACATCATTTACATTTAAGTGGAAAAACAGATTGAGCCAATCGGCTGCGGAGAGTGAGAGCCAATCAGCGGCTAGCAGAAAAGTCGTTTTAAGAGGCATCTTCATGTGGTCGAGCGTTCAGTATTAATTAGAGTGTGCGCCCAGAAGGAACTCCAATGAAGAACTGCAGCGCCAGCAACACGGATCCGACCGCTTTCTACGTGAATGACACAAAAGGTTGGCCCAACTACGACGGCTATGCGGAGTATGATTACAATTATGAGCAGAGCAATGCATCCAGCTATGAGGATTGCGGGAAAAGGTTCTGGAACAATGCTGCGCCAAATGATTACCACGCATCCACAACGACTCCAACGCAGCCAAATGCCACAGCACCCATCGCTCAGCGCAAGGAACGCACTGCGTTTACGAAAGCCCAACTCAAGCAACTGGAGGCTGAATTTTGCTACTCCAATTATTTAACCCGGCTGCGTCGCTACGAAATTGCCGTCGCCCTGGAGCTGACCGAGCGCCAGGTGAAGGTTTGGTTTCAAAATCGTCGCATGAAATGCAAGCGCATCAAACTTGAATTGTCCGAATCCACAAAAGCACATTAGCTTAAATTTACAAAGAAAAAAAATAATCATTTTTTATACAACGTTTTGTTTACTTAACTATTATGGTAAAAAATATACTATAGTTACTTCTTCAGCTTCTTGACAACTTTTTTTTGCAGCGGCTTGGCCAACTGCTTGGCCGCGGCCAGCTGCAGCGTTTTCGTGGCCGCATTTTTGGTCACTTTGGACGCTGCAGTGGGCTTCTTTTTCTGCACACCACCCGTGCCGGGTTTGCGTTTGAGCAGCTCAGACTGGCGCTCAGCGCTAGTGTTTTTCTTAAGCGACTTTTTAGCTGCTGGTTTTGGTTGCAGCTCTTCCTCCATCTCATCATCGTCATCGTCGTCATCATCATCATCTTCAGCGTCGTCGCTATCATCTTCAGCGCTGTTCAGCTCCTGTTCAGTATCATCGTCACTTGCATCTACATAGTCCTCATCATCCGAGTCTTCGTTGATGGTGTTGCCCAGCAGATCTGCCAGTTCCAGTTCTTTTTCCGGCGCTTTCTGTTTGCTGCTGTTGGAAGGTTTCGATTTCTGTTCCGTTACCTTTGATTTTTTGACAGGTTCGACAATAAAATTGGAAAAGTCAAGTCCCAAATGCTTAAATTTGTTTTGCATCTTCTTTAGTTTTTTGATGCCCAAAACAGTGCGTTTCTGGCAGGCACTTTCGTTCCAATCGTTTTGTTTCTTGACACTGCGCTGCGTAGCTTTGGTTACATCCGAAACATAAATCTCTTTGCCAGCCTGGAAACCACAATATTAGGCACTATGTATATTCAATCTTTAACCGTTGCTTACCTTATTTGTGACTTTTTTCACTGTTTTCTTGAAGTAATTGAATTTTTGCTGCTCGGGCGGTATGTACGAGGCCTTGACCACTTTCTGAAACATCAGGTAGTTGTCCATGGTATCTGCCGCTACTTTCGCCACCTCCGGATATTCGAACTCAACAAATGCGAATCCTTTGCTACCGCCGGTGCGCTCGGAACGCGCAAGCCGCACACGCGTTACATGTCCGAACTGTTTGAAATATTGACGCAATTGCTGCTCAAAGAAGCCATGTGGCAAATGTTTGATGAACACCACACCGCGCTCCTGCTGCGCCTTTGGCTGTGGCTTGGCGTGGTTCAGTTTCTTTTTCAACTGCAAAAATGGTGGCGCATACAGTTTGGGCCCCGTTATTTGGAGAGACTAACTCACCTGGCCGGAAATTACGGTTTTACTTTGGTCGGGCGATTTGGACGGTGTCACTTGTTTCTGCATCTTAAAGGGCTTGGGTTTCTTTACAGGCGGCATCTTGACGTTTACTATTATTTAATAAACAAACACAAGAATAGGATGAGACAAATTTTAAAGCTGCAGCCGCACGTGGAATATACAGCAATAAATCGGCTGATTCGATAACGATAGTTAGCCAATGTTGAAAAATATATTAAGCAAATTGAAACATTTTTTTAGTATTTTTTTGAGTGCATAAATGTTAACAAGGGCAGTCCTGTTAGAGCAATTACGCGAATCCGCTTAACAGCATGACGAGCATGCACACAGAACTGCAAAACTGAGGGTATTTTAATAAAAAAGTGAATCAACAAATTAGAACTGTTGTTATAATTATAAATTATTATTATTTAATACATTTTAATCCCAGCGCTAGTGTGACCAGCTTAAAGAAATACATCTTTCCGAAGCGCCATTAAATCAAATTGGAAAATGACGCACATGGCAACACTGTAAATCAGATGTTAGTGCAATCGCGTCGTCCGCGCGTGAAGAAGCAACAAGCGAGGTGCAAATCTAATATAACGGGCACGTGTCGGTTTCCATCCATAGCGCTTAAATACATTTACACATATATATATATATTTGCAAAAAAAAACAAAAAAACAAATACTCACAAGATAAACAATTGTAAATTGCGCACAAATATCAAGACAGAATGTTCTATCTAATTGGACTCGGTCTGGGCGATATCAAGGATATCACAGTGAAAGGCCTTGAAATTGTAAAGCAATGTAGTCGTGTGTACCTGGAAATGTATACCTCAATTCTAGGCTGCAGCCTTGAGGATATGGTGAGTAGGGACAACTGTGCGTGAGGCGCAAATATTAAATCTGTATATGTATATATATATGCGATTAATATACGTTTTTTTGGTTTTACATTGTTGTTGTGTTGTTTTTTTATTTCTGTTTTGTTGTTGTTGTTGTTGTTGTTGTTTAGCAAGAGTTCTATGGACGCCCCTTGCTGCTGGCTGACCGTGACCTGGTGGAACAGGGCGCCGATGAGATTTTGGCTGGCGCTGGTGAGACGGACGTCGCCCTGCTTGTTGTGGGCGACCCCTTTGGCGCCACAACGCACACAGATTTCATTTTGCGCGCCAAGGAGAAGAACATACCCTATAAGGTTATACATAATGCGTCCATTATGAATGCCATTGGCTGTTGTGGCCTGCAGCTGTACAAATTCGGTGAAACTGTCTCTATACCGTATTGGGATGAGACTTGGAAGCCGGACAGCTTTTACGATAAGATTAAGCTGAATCGCCTGCACAATATGCACACGCTCTGTCTGCTGGACATTAAGGTTAAGGAGCCCACCCTCGAGTCGCTGATGCGCAAACGCAAGGAGTACATGCCCCCGCGTTTTATGAGCGTCGCCGAAGCCGCACAACAGCTGCTGACCATTGTTGAGAAGAAGGATGCTCTGGAACGGAATACAGTGCTAAATGAGCAGTCGCTGTGCGTGGGCCTGGCACGTGTTGGCCAGGATACGCAACAGATTGTTGTTAGCACCCTGCACGGTATGCGTGCCACCGATCTGGGCGGCCCGCTGCACTCACTGATCATACCCGCCAAGGAGATGCATCCGCTGGAAGTGGAGTTTTTGCAGCAATACGCTGCCAACATTAAATTGGACGATTATAATCATTAGAGAATGGCCCACCGCATGAACTTTATGTATTTAAGTGTTTAGGACACATTGAATTGAATTTAAGTAGCTTGAAGCTCTATGAAGGATGAGTAAGATGAGAAAGTGATATGCATACGTATGTGGTTTCCCCCTGCTTAGTTCCAACTGTGTGTAGTTTGCAAACAATAATAATAAAAAATCGAATTATCAACAGAACAAAGTATGTATTCTGGCTGGCTATGTGCAATTTATCTAGCGAGTTTTCCCATATGGGGTTTTACATAAGAACTTTTGATGAGATTTACCTCTTGTAATTGCTTAAAAAATGTTTCCATAGAAGTTATATAATATAGCGGTCTGATAAGAGATTACTCAGAGGCTCGTAATTTTCCAACAACATTCCAATTTAAAACATCAAAATTAAGAATCTGCGAAGAGTTGTATCTAGTTAGTCACCTGGGACACCTATGACTATATCGATCTGGCTTTTTATATGGCTCAAGTGTAGCGTCATGGCTGGCCTCTGAGCTTTACAAATTTGGTGAACTGTACCAGGTAATATACAAGGAACAACTGTTTGACATTGTGGTGTTTTTCATTTAATCGGCAGCAATTCAGAATATATATAAAATAAATATCTCTCCATATGTCCGCTTAGGGATAGAGGCCACGCATGCGCCGCGATGAGCCCTGACGATCGTAAAGCATATTAAATTTGTTGACAAACTGATGCATATCGTTGCAGCCCTTGGTCAGCGTGCCCAAATAGCTGATCAGGCCCACATCGTTGCATTGTGTGTAGAGCTCCTCCTGGAAGGCGGGCACCTGCATTATGGGCAGACGATGGCACAAGGCATACGCCTCACGCAATATTTCCTGGTTCGCCTTTAGCTTGCCCGCCTCGACATCTTTGATGTATTGCAAAACGATTTTAATGCGCGTATTTAACATTTTAATGGCGCTGTCCTGGGCAACCAAATGCTCAGCGACCACACTCTTTTCGCCCGACTCGTTTGTGGTCATGCGTGCCACATGATCCACACCAATGCGTTCGGCCTCCTCGGTGGCCAGTGTATAGGTAAGCGGAACAAATAGCATGGTGGCCTCGCCGTCGACCAGATCGATTAGCGATTCGAATAGCTTAACAGGCAGCTGGTCCACGCTGCGTGGCAATGGGTTCAATTGCAGCATGATGGGACATTCATTAATCTCGGCTATTTGTTTTTGAATCTTTATGTCGCTCGCAGTGGGACTGTCGCCCGTTGTATACCAGCCAATGAAGTCCAGATCGCTGAACACCTGCAAACCACAAGTACTTATGAACTGGCCACTATTTGGATTCAGTTAAACACAACTAACCTGCTTGTACTGCTGCTCCTTCTTGTTATAATAGTCCTTGTTGATGATTGTTTCCTCCGCAATTTCATCGGTTTTGAGCTCAAACGAATTCATAACCTCGATGTTGCGACCCTTTTGTTTGCCTATCAGTGCGCCATACACTTGACGTGACTCGCCGTGCTGTGCCCGGAAGCGTGTCCAATGCTCCGATATATTCATTATGACCAATGGATGCAATGAAATTGTTACCGACGCAATTGTACCAGACGCAGCCATAATATTGCCTTTGATTTGCTGTTGTTTGTTGCTGGCAGCATCGCCAGCGGATGAAGTTGCTGCCGCTGAGGCTGATGTGCTCGGCTTGGCGGTAAGGTCAACATCAACGTCCATTTGTTCCATGCTGTCACTGTGGGAGATTTGCGAACACGAAAATGAAATTACAAATGATTTGCAATTTAATCTATTTTGTGTTTGCTGTTTTATATAGAATTTATCGACTAGCCGCCACCGCTTATCGATTAACGATAACGATATAACAATTTTGATATGTTTCTTTGTCTTGTTTGTGCGCTATTTAGTCTTGTTTTATATGAATGCAATTTGTTATTTTATTTTATGGCAATAACCGCTTACTCTAAGAAATGACTCTAGCCCCAAAGGCTTACCAGCAACTTTAATTTACGCAAAGTAGCTGATTAGTTTATAATTACTTGCAACACCATTGGGGCGTACTTAAAAAATCCTTTAAAAAAAAATTCTATTAAACAGTAACCTGAAGAGTATTTTAAATATAGGCATTTTACTGAAAGCTGTGATTTTGAGCAACTGTTAAATTTAAAATTCGAGCCAGCATTTGGTATTTTTTGTCTCAAGTGTTCGCTGTTAATAACAGTTCGTCGAAATGTTAAACTATAATCGTTTTGTATAGTCCATCACTAGTTTATCACCAATAAGATTTGGCTGTGCCACGGATAACCGCTGAGTACGGACGGTTGTCGTAAAACAAGAAATATACGTGCGCTATTATTTGTTTTATCGCGAAATGTGTAAGAATTATAAATAAATGCAATCGCTCAAAGTAAACATTTAAGATAAAGCATGAAATGTGTCTAATCAAGGCAGCAGCTGTTACGAGCCACTAAGAACTTTTGGTCAAGGTATGCACTTAACTTGTCGCTGTGTGGGAGACTCAATAAAATCTTCTTTTTATGTATGTGACAAAACCTACAAGATTTTTCGAAACACTAAATGTTTGAAGATACTTTGTCGCTCATATGGCAATCTTAATTATAAGTAGATCATTAAAGCGAATGAAGAGCTTGACAAGTTTTCAAGTTGTTAGCGTTTTTCGTTTGCGTTCATCTTTCCTTTTACAGGAAAAATCAATAAAATCCAATTGGCGCGCGTGTAAGTGTGCGTGTTTCAGTGTGTGCGAGCGGCTGCGCCGTGTGTGGGTGTGTGCCTGTGCATCTGTATTGTCTTTTCAAACTGCAGGCTCCTTTATCAGCTACTTTGGTCGTGTGCGTACCGCTGCAATGTCGTTGTTGCTGTTGTTGTAGGTGCTGTTAAGTGAATGTGGCACAGCTAATTGATAAGTTTTCATTTATATTTAGTCATTTTTTCCCGCTCTTATTGACCATAATTAATCACTTTGTCTATGTCTGCATTCGCACTGTGGTTGCATTCGCAAATTAACTGTTAAATGTGTGCATGTATATGCGTATGTACACATGCATACATATGCATGTTCATGTATTTATTTATTATGCATGCTCTGGGGGGTTTCGCATGTCGCTGTTGTATTTTTATTGTTTTGGTCGAAAGACCGACGAGAGTCACAAAATAGATAAACTACTTGCATAGTTAAAGTATTTAGTTTCCCTTTTACTTTGCTTCCATTTACATAATCATGATCTCTGCTTGCAAAAAGAAAACTGGACAAGACGAAAATTAAAAAAAAAAAAACAACAACAACAGCAAAGGCGAACGACGTTCATTAAAATAACACATACCTACATACACACATACTGGCATGCGCATACATACATACATACATGTACGTTCATATTTATGGGAACGGGCGCGTACTTTTATTATGCCACGAAGGGTACTTTAGTATTGTCTTCGAACGTGTAACGTCTTGAACGAGGCATTGTTTTTATATGCAGTTCTTATTAGTAATACAGTGGATCCTTACAAAAAAAGCCATTTATTACAGAATTGATTCTAATTTTCAAAACATTTGAATTTTGTTAAAAATGCTAATAGTTTTAATTGTCCAACATTATTGACAGTATTTAATATCTTTATAAGTAATATATGAATAATATCTTTATCACATATTCTCAACCTTCTATATTTATGAGTTGTCTGTTTCACATATTATTTGAACCCAGAATCAACATTTATCAAAATAATATATTTACTGTTTAATTTGTCTATAGCATATGTGCTATTAATCAAATTTTGTATTTTTGAATGAAGGATTATCATGCGGATAAATATATTTGAATTATTTTGTAGAATAGGCAAGGGCATTTGCTATTCGCTTGCTTGCGATATCTTTGTTTTCGTGCTGTTTTTTTTTTTTTTTTTTTGCGCACACTTCCATTATATCTCTTTAATGTCTGTTGCCTGCCCATCTCATTTCTCAGTCTTCAATCGTCTACTACTTGGGCGATAGTTCTGCTGTTTGGATTTTTGGTATGCAAAATGTGTGCCAAGCCAAAACGTCTCTTCCTTTTGTGGTCTGCACATATATATGTGTGTGTGTGTGTATATGAATGTATGTATGTATGTATGTATATGTAGCTGGTCGGTTAATGACATGCAAGACAGCGGGAGTTGCGGCGGCAGAAGAGACGCCGGGCTAGACAAGTGACGCATTCGAATTCTTTCTGATACTTGCCAACAATAAGCGCAAATATAGTACACATACATATGTATCTAAGTATGTACAACTATGTACATAGGCTTTGACTAATTGATGAACTGTTGATTCATTCGGCATGCTAAAATGCCGGCTATGTACGTAATGTGCACATGTGGGAATGTGCTCCATTTATCATACCCAGCCAACTAATCAGAGGCCGTTGCTTATCAGACTGCTCCGAATTTGTATAGCTGCGTATTATATTTCAGAAAGGGTTGCACATGGATTGAGTAAGCAGTTTGGGGCTAAGTACTCGTTGGCAAATGTACGTCATTTCCAGGTCTTTCTTCATAAATGATTTCCAACTGTGTGACAGTTCTAATTGGCATTTTATTTCCAGTATCAGTATCACCTTATAGCTTGAGGTTAATTTCAATTCAATGTACTTACTATATTTGAAATACAAATACTTTATTTCTAAGTACCAATTCAAATGGATTTTTAAAAAAATGTGTATAATATTCTATTTCATGCCATGCAATTCGGATCATGTCCAATTGGAGCGTTGTGCGAATTCGATTCTGTTGAGTTTGCCAATTGGAGCCTAAAGCATTTGATTTGTAGGATTGTCCCAATTCACAGACTGCTGTTCATTTGTGAGAATAGTTAACTTAACCGTGTCATAGATCAAAGCACACACATTTGTTCATATATAGACATATATATGTATTTATATTCATGTGTATACGCACATATCCAATTATACGGCGCATGCGCCGCTGCCATAAGAAATGCAGCTCCCAATTGCACAGCGCATAACTCAGCGGCAGCTCAAATGAAAAATATAACAGCAGCAGCAACACTAACACTAACAATAACAATAACAACAACAATGAAATTAAGCAGCTGAAAACGCATCTGTATCTTTTTCATGCACTGGAAATTCCGCAAAGACGACGCCGATCCGCTAACTTTCTAAAAAACAAAAAAAAAATACATGCAGCGCGAGCTAATCATGATCATAATGATTGTATTAGTAGTACAAGGTAACATAATCAGAGGGTATATTAAACTAATGATGCATTTGGTAATTGACTAACAGTGATCAATGTAACACATTCCGTTATCTTGCGATAACGCACTGCCTTTCTATGCGATTTTCAAATCGCTGACTAGGACGATACGCATTTCAAAAGGAACACTGCAGTTTTTCTCATTATTGGGGACTTACTGTGGCAGAAATTAGATTTATCTCAAAAGCTCGAAGGGAATTACAACAAACCAGTTTTATTGCGTTGCATTCATAATTGCATAAGTAAATCTTATTAGGAAAAGGGTATCTGGTAGCCGATGTCAATTTGAGCTCAAAGTTGTAGCCGTTTATTACCTGTTGTAGACCGCAGACTTGACTTTACACCTGATATTCTGATGCCTCGACTGTTGCTGCATTCGCCAGCGTCTCGCTCAAGGGCCCAACTTGGCCAACTGGTGGTGGGCAGAGTATATACTATGTATATTTATGTATGTACATATATGTATTTGTCGATATAAATAGAAGTGCGCCGACTCGACGCCCAGCTGATCAGCCAACTCATCTTGCAATTTATAACCAACGCCTCTCACTCGTAATTGCAGGGCATGGCGCATTGACTCTCTGGCATACTTGGCTCTAAAAACCAAACCAAATCCAGTTGAGCTGGGATCATGTTGCAGCCAACGCTGACGCCAGAGCTGGAGGATGGCGGCGGTCAGGACAGCATTGTTCTGGGCATGGCTGGCGTTTGCCTAGACGACACCGATGTGGATGTGGATGTGGACGTGGATGTCGATGTCGATGCCGATGTGGAAGTGGATGTGGATGCGGTTCCCGATCGTAAACCACATTTCTTGGACTATGATGCCGCAGTGCCGCCAGATTACGAGGACAACTATGGCTATAGAACCGCCGCTGGGGAGCAGCTGAAAATGGATAAGAAATTCGAGCGTGATGGCGAGATTAGCGACTATGAGCTGGCCGCCAGTGGCTATACCAAGAAAGAGTTCACCCAGGACGACAATACGCTGCATTTTACGCAAAGCAGCGGCGCAGCCGGCAGCGCCAAGAAGCCAGCCAAGCACTTTCTGGACGAGAATCCCATACCGCCCGACTATATGCTGGCGCAGGAGCTGCGCGAGCATCGCAGCCTAGATCGCAATTTTGAGCGACAGTCGGCGCAGCAGCAGCAGCAACAGGACCTTTTGCCAGCGCAGCGTTTGGGCTCACCAGCTGGAGGAGCAACTACATCAGCCGCATCAAGTGGAACAAGCGTCGCAAGTCGCGTTTCACGCAGCAAGGAGCCCTCGTATACGCTCTCTCGATTTCTGGATGCGGATGCGGCGCCGCCGCCGTTGCCGCGTCTGCCTAAAGGTGCCGCCTGGACCAGCACAAGCGATGTGGATGCCACGCTCGGCGCCAAGGTCGAGTGCGTCTACTCGCTGCTCTCCATGCTGGGCTCCAATGATCCGTTGGAAATGTCCAAAAAGTTTCTCGAGCTCTCCGGCAACAGTCAGAGCTGTGCAACATTGCGTCGCTCCGGCTGCATGCCGCTGCTGGTGCAGATGATGCATGCACCGGACAATGAGCAGGAGGTGCGCAAATGCGCCAGCCTCGCGCTGCACAATGTGGTGCACAGTCATCCGGACGAGAAGGCGGGCAGGCGTGAGGCCAAAGTGTTACGCCTGCTCGATCAGATTGTGGACTATTGCAGTTTCCTCAAGACGCTGCTGCAGAGCGGCGGC